CTACATTTCAGCAAGTATAAAAATCATTAATTATGTAAATGACCTTATATAGGTATTATCTGAAAGAGAATAAAATATTCTAACATCTATCAAAACTGGAATGTCTAATCGCTTCTCATTCTTAAGAAACCTCCAGTTATTTCGTAGGTGTCCCATTTTTTACCGTTCACCCTAATACTTACTTTCCCTGAAATTTTCTTTAAGAAAGAATAAGAAAACATCAAATAAGGCGAAATCTGAGTTAAGTGGATTACAGAATAAAATTATATATCCATTATGTAAGCCTTGATAATCAAAGGAGGAAAGATTAGAACGAAATCGATCAGGACGATCGAATAGGCGTATACAAAACAGTATAAGTCAGAGGAATGATTTGGAGGCCATGCACAATATGACATCTATATGTATATCAAAATGCGAGATAGCGAGAAATTTGAAAAACCCATTTCAGTTGAGTTATGCTATAACGCTACATTCAGGAAACAAGATTAGGAGAATTCTTACGCAGCCATTGATCTGTAACTCTCATAGTAAGAGTGAAGATAAAGAAGTTTGAACCGAACCGTAACACAACTTGGAAAGAGCAATTTTTCTTGCAAACCTATCGAAGTAAGCATAGAGAATAGGAAAAAATCATTAATAAAAGCAGAAAAGGTAGTACAAAAAGCAAGTGATGTGTAATTTTCGTTGGCCTTTCCTCACTACACATAGGATGACGCTGCAGGTGTGCACCCCCGTGGGGATTTATCTGTCCTCTGGCATGGATGACACATCAGATTGTACTCAGAATTGCGTACTTGACAAGTGGTCTCAAAGCAGAAGTTAAAATCTCATGATTTACTGGAAAAACTTTCAGCAAAGTACTTTGCCATTTTTTGTTTTTTCTTTCTGTTCAAGCACAGCTTTTGCACCTTGGATGGGCTAGAATTTCCACATTTATCCTATATACTCGAATTCTACTTCCATGAATTTTGAAAGCGGTCAATGAAAGTGTTGCTTCTGCTCAACAGTCTTTGGAGTCACCCCGCCAATGAGCGGCCTTCAAAAGAATGTGAACACTCCGAACTATCGAGAAGTGATTAAAGTAATTGCAGGATTTCGTGCAGGTAAATGCCTTCCGAAAGAATTCACTCGGCAGGAACATTTCATTAAGGAAATTGAAAAGTAGAATTTGGGTAAACACATCCTATCCTGAATATCCTACCTTTGTTCAATACCGGATACAGTAATCGATGTGCACTGAACAGAAAAAGTTACTATATCGCGTTCAGTGGCGGTCCCAGGACTTCCTTCGGAAAGGGGAGGGCACCGGAAAATTTCTTGAGATGCTCAAAATTTTTGCGGGCCCAGTACCCCGAAATCTCGGAAAAAAGAGCGTGACGGCAGCCTCCCGATAAAAATTCTTTGCAGGGCTAATTTAAATATCCAAAGAATTTCAAAAACCTTCTCAATTATTTAGAAGTGTGAACAAGTCACTTGCACGTTTTAGTAAATCATGCAAGTAAAAAAAGTTTGCGACCCATTCGACGGAGGGGAGGGGCAACCACCTCTCGGTCTGCCACTGACTGCGTCCACTTTTAGCACATTCAAAAAAATTGGAAATCACGCCGCACTTCATAGAGACGACTAACGGCGATTATGAAAAAAAAATGCCTGTAGCTTCTCACGGAATTATTGCACTCAGTTGGATTTTGAACTCTAGCAAAATGACTGTATGGGCTGGTTAATGACCGAAGAAAATGGATCAATAGAGCTGTATGGGTGCGTTCGCCCGAATGAATTATACCCCGCAGACAATGCCCACTAGGCTCCGATCGGAGCCTGGAAGTAGTTTACCATCGAAATAGTCACCAGGGTTGAGCGTGGGGTCAGGCGCGCCCGACCTGGGGGGTCGTACTGGGGTAAGACAGAGGGGGGGAGGGGTCGTGATTAGGAATCGAATTCGTTCGATTGAGGAGATACTACGATTAAGGTGAAGAAGAAAAGCGCTAGTTTAGTGGATATCGCGACCTCACCAGTACTGAAGGAATGAAAGCTCTTAAACAGCATACTGATTGATTCCACAATCGAAGTTTCGCCAAAACTCAAATCTTCATCTTCTACCTTGACATATTATAAATTCTTCAAGGAAGCTTGCTGTGTGAAATGGGTATCATTTCCGAGCACGTCAAATTACCTCTATGAGCCCTACAAACCATTATTTACTGCATTATCTAGTGTTTCTCAATGTCTAAAAAGCGTGATTTTCAAACATGATTAACTTGTTTTCAAAAGTGAGAAAAGTCAATTTTTTTGTACTCGTAACAAAGTATTGTTCCCTACTAGTCTAGGCTAAAAATCGCGCTTTGTATCGCTTGCAAATAGTGGAGTAAGGAATAATGCCAAATTTTCGACCGGCACGTTTTTCGCCATGACTGCTTCAACTCCACGGATTACCACAAGGCCGAAACAAGTCGAATCAAGTCCAAACACTTACTGTGGAATCTTCGAGAGTTGTGCTAGCGATTTACGTAACTTGAATAAAAAAGCTTCTTCAATGATAAAGTTAATCGGGTCAGGCGCAACCCCACAAAAGGTCAGGCCGCCTGAGCTTTTGAGGGGTTGCGCCTGACCCGATTAACTTGTTTTCAAAATCTAAAAATCGCTCCATTTCTGCTATGAGTATTATACTCAAAGCCTCTTCTTGCAATACTGCAAATTTGGAGCCAAACAATACACCCCTGTGGGAATTATAGCTGTAAAAGTAGGGCTATCCAAAATCCAAAACTTGCCGTCAAGTTGCGTGTGCTGTGCAATCGCAGAAAGTCGACCTACAGACCTCCAAAAAACAAGAACCTCCCAAAAACGGCTGATCTCTTCGAATTATCACAGCCTGAGGTCCTGGAGGTGAAGCAGAGGGGTCGTTTAGGGGCTTTCACTGGGGGGGGGGGGGGGGTCGTTTTGGAAAGACTTGTGCCTGACCTCTTGCTCAACCCTGATAGTCACTTAAGTGAATGAGAATCAGATGTGATTGCACAGACTTTGCATTGGCTGTAAAATATAGAATTTCTACAGCTCTGGCAATCAAAAAAATATACACGAATTTCCGAGTTGTTAAGAAAGCTAGAAAATAATTCACCCTAAGCCCTCAGTCAACAATATTATAAGCTTCTTTGCAGTACATATACATATTTATGTAATTTAGTGCATATGATCGGATTCCAAGTTTGTATGGAGGCGGGTTGCGGACTCCTGATTCTAAGGATAAGCTTAATGAGAGAGTACGAAATGCAATGCTATAACGTGGAGGTTTAACAAGTTTATCCTGAAAATCAGGGAAGTCCGCAACCTGCACCCGAACGAATCTGGGAGACGATGATACTTGATAGGCACCCGCCATACTTACCCCTCTTGATCCGCTTGATCTGCTTGATCCGCTTGATCCGCTTGCTCCGCTTCTTGCAGGACGCGTGTAAAACGCGCGCACTCAGCAGTCTGTCATTTGGCGCCGCGTAGGTGAAAAGCAATCTCGTGTGGTTGAGCAAATTCGCTGTACGTGACGCCAAATGACAGACTGTTGTGTGCGCGCGTTTTGCACGCGTCCTGCGAGAAGCGGAGCAAGCGGATCAAGCGGATCAAGCGGATTAAGCGGATCAAGCGGATCAAGAGGGGTAAGTATGGCGGGTGCCATCTCAGACACTCGCACCGGCCGGCGGCCGCACAAAGACCGGCTGGCGCGACCACATGTCATTGCATACAGTTGCGTAGTCTACGCCCGCCGGCCGGTATTCGGACGGGCGCCGGCCGGAAAGGTACGGCCGCCAGCCGGTGTATACTGAGGAACGGTAGAACTGTTTTACATGGTAGAACTGTCTTTTATTCACTGGCATATAGGAAAATACACTGCAAAGAACAAAAGTCAAGGCCGCTGATGTAGCAGCTTCGGAAACCACGTCCGATTTTAAAATTCGACAACACCGAGATACTATCGAGGGTTGTCTATGAGACAACATGTTGCCTTGTTCCTGCTTCGGAAATTGAAGAACATACAAGGCATTGAGGGTAGCCTAACCATGCGTCGTATCTCACGCAAGTATCCTTTACGCTAAGACACTGGGAGATAGAATTTTGGGACGGTCGCCGGCCGGCATGATCTTTTGGGACGGTCGCCGGCCGGCATGATCTTTTGGGACGGTCACCCGCCGGCATTTAGCTCCGCCCAGATTTATGGAACGGTCGCCAGCCGGAAGGCCGTCGTCGGACGGTCGCCGGCCGGTGCGAGTGTCTGAGCTGGGAGATAGAATTTTGGGACGGTCGCCGGCCGGCATGATCTTTTGGGACGGTCGCCGGCCGGCATGATCTTTTGGGACGGTCACCGGCCGGCATTTAGCTCCGCCCAGATTTATGGAACGGTCGCCAGCCGGAAGGCCGTCGTCGGACGGTCGCCGGCCGGTGCGAGTGTCTGAGATAAACATTTAGTCTTAATACGTATTTACGTACTAAGTCCTTCGTTTCGTATTCATTTTTTGGCGACAACAATTGGGATGAGATATGTAGTATTCTTACGAATGCCAACAACTTGCTTGAAGTATAACGCCATAGAGCGCAATTGTCAAATTTGACAGCAAATTTTGTTCGCATCTATACAGTTAACAAAAGCAAGACTGGAATTGCGCAAATTTCTCCAAACATTAAACACCATGCCCAATGCATTCAAATCTGGATAGGATTTGCATCCTTTCTAAAAAAAGGCTTGTACGATCGATGGTTATACGATCAAAGTGGAAATTATGGTAACTCAAGCACTTGGGTCTCCATGCAGAAGCCTAACAGTCTTTGGTATTTCGAAGTTCACAGTTACCGCCGCATGGCCGCTGCCGTAAATTAAATTGCACAGTTGATTGCGGCCAAACACGACGACTTACGCCTAATTTCAACAAAGTTTCTTCTGCCAAATAAAAAAAAAGCTTTATTGCGTACAATTGCACAACATAAACCGACGCTATCGTGCTTTTTTTGGCGTCAAAACATTCCTTGTTAGTTGTTATATTGTTCTAGGGCAAATCCTATATGCCTTCTCAGAAGAACCAGCGGAAGAAAAATCGCCGTTTCGAACAGAAAAGGAATGAGATCTCATAGTGAGTAGTCTTCGTCGATTTGTGAGGTTTTTCTACTTTTTCTTCAATATGTCTTACTTTTTAGCGAGGCGAGATTTGAGCTTGTTCGAAAAATTGCGGAGAAATGGGGAAAGGAGTTGAAAGTAAATCGCACTGGGCCCACAGGTTAGTTTTTACCATCTTCTTGAGGTTATTGTCAGGATTCTTATGTTGTTGTTTATTCAAAGCTACAGATGGCGGAGCTGAGCAATTCACTATACTTCTTGCTTTTGGTGACATTCCTTATATAGTTCTTGGCGCCAAAGGTGTTGGAAGGAGTGCCATGTTAGTTTTATTTTCATTTGCGTGATTTTGCATTTCCGTTTACTTCTTATATTTCCGTGCTCTGTTGCGCCCTTTGTATAAGTGGTGCAGCCAGGTATGTTTTAGAGAAGCAGACTCCAATAGCGCATGGAATTTGCTGTCGTTCTTTCAAGGCTTTCTTAGCCGGTCTACTATGCAAACTTTGCGGAAAAAATGGGTACGTTTCTGTGGCCGTATTCATCAACGAACCCAATGGGTTCCGGAACCCACTGGGTTAGTGCTTTCGATGAATATCCAATCTACTCCATGGTAGAATCGATATTCATCAAAAGCACTAACCCAGTGGGTTCCGGAACCCACTGGGTTCGTTGATAAATACGGCCACTGCTTTCATCACGCTGGAAAAGCATAAAGCTTGAGGGAGATTCAGGCCGCTGCTGAAACAGAAATTGGCGAGATCGTACAGATTTGTCGCTTAATCGAGGATGCTGTGAATACTGAACAGTATAATCAACTTCGAACGGTAAGTGCAAATTTGATATTTTGAGAAGTAAGCCATAAAGGATTCGGCGTATTCAATACTGTGGGCATGCGCCAAACACATCTTCGTAGTTGGAGGGCCAGATGAATGGGAGCGAGGCTTCTCAATGACTTGCGAGGGCTAGTCAATTACGGATTCGTAATTTTATCCTCTAGTTTGACTCCGGTATCAATTTCGCGACTCATTTCGGGGGGGGGGGGACTCCGTTCCCCCCCCCCCCCCCCTCGTACGCCACCGCTTCATACCACTATGGCACTTGTCCTCTTTTTTAGGAGTACATATAGGCTCCACTTCTTGTGCCAAATTGGCACATTCTTTTCAAAATCGATCTGAGTAATTCAAGGAACTTCATTAAAGGCAGCGTCCAGGCAAGTCTGGACACATGGGGATCTTACGTGAATAGTAATTTTGGGGGCGAATACGATCGCGGGGTCCAGTTTCGAGGGCAATATCTCAGTCGTTAGGGCACTACCTGCACTGCCGCTTGGGCAGTGCCTTAATTAGGGCCCCAAAAGTACTTTCCACGTAAAATCCCTATAGATCCAGATCTGCCTGGACGCTGCCTTTAAAGGCAGTGAGTCGGCAGAATGAGACCCGTGGTAAAACAAGGTTACAGGGTAGGAGCCCCATAATGGAACCTACGGGCCAAAGTTCGATCTTTCTCTGCCACTTCTAACCCCCGAAATTTCAAAGCGAAAGCAGCGCTCATCTCCTGTCCTCTCCGAACCCGCCCACCCCATGGACGAGTGACTTCCGCGGTCAGAGCGCCAGCCGCAATGCTTTAAGCATGAGGTCCGCAACGACTCTGCGTCCCATGACGGGCTTCGCGTTCACTCGTCCATGGGGTTGGCGGGTTCGGAGAGGACAGGAGATGAGCGCTGCTTTCGCTTTGAAATTTCGGGGGTTAGAAGTGGCAGAGAAAGATCGAACTTTGGCCCGTAGGTTCCATTATGGGGGCTCTTACCTTGTGACCTTGTTTTGCCGCGGGTCTCATTCTGCCGACCTACTTCCTTTAAGGGGTCTACATCGAAAGGCGCGTGTTTGGGCAGTGCATCAAGGTCGGATTCGCGCTCCGCGAAAGCAAAATTTTTAAACTCCGAAAGTTCTGTCAGTATATCAAAAACTGTAGCGAAAGGAAACGTACTTAACACTGGGAGGGAACAAAATAGATTTGTACCTTTATTTCATCTTTCTAAACCGTATTTGATGAAGGTACCAATTCTCGACGCGAATCCTCCGGAGAAATCGTGGGCTCGACAGCTTCGTCTGGAACTGCGCAGCTTGTATGCAAAGAAGCAGCTTCAAAGTATGGCGGGAAAGACAACTTCTCAAGCAGCTACGAGCACCATATTTACGCAAGTAGGTTTTTGCATCGTTATGTTACACCAGTTCGGCAAAAAGAACAGTGTGCGTCTAAAATGTCAGCGGTTGTTGGTAGTAGTTCTGTTGATCTCATGGTGAAAGGAGCTGTTTCTATGTTTTTGATTTGAGCTCACTATTTATGTCGACTTTTGCTTATAAATAGCTTAGCAGCTTACATTTGCGTTTCGGACTCTGCAACAAGGGCCTTTGCGACCATTCAAACACATTTTTTACTTCAAATCCTCTGATCAAAACAGTAATCGATGAAATGAACTTTTGGAATTTCAGCAAGCACAGCTGAAGACCTTGAAGAGAAAGCTGTCTACTGTTACTAGTGACGCGGATTCGGGTGTACCTGTAACTAAAAAGAACAAAGCCTGTCAAGCGGTAGGAAATGGCTACATCGAAACAGATTGGGCAGATGAATATGATGAGGATGGATTGCACTTTACTTACATATCTCCTCTTTCTACTTCAAGTAAGTTCTTTGTATGAATTCTTCAGTTAATTGTTCCTTGCATTACGCTTGATCACGAGAGCAGAAATTGATACTTTCCAACATGGTCAAGCTTTCTTAGGGAAGGCCATAGGTTCGCAGTGTTCGCGGTGTTCGTGGTGTTCGCGGTGTTCGTGTGTTCGCAATGTTCGCGGTTGTCGGTGTTTGCGGTGTTGTCGGAGTTGCCGGCAGGGTCAAGTGTGGGGTGTGGCATTTGGAATCTGTGGAGTGTGATCTAGAATAGTATGGCCGATCCCAACAACACCGACAACACCGCGAACACCACGAACACCGCGAACACCGCGATCCTATGGCCGTTCCCTTAGCAACGTGGATGAGCAGGACGCTTTGCTCGTCTTGATTCTTTACCGGTTTCGTTCCTCCCAGCCGCTATAGTTATGGAAATTTCATGAGAAGAATCTGACCGATGAAAGTAGTTCTGAGTTTTGGAAATGCAAAATACCTGAACATTGCTCGAAGCAGGATGATTCTTGTATTAGTGAGTATGTCCATCATGACCGCGACCTGTGGCCGTATTCATCAACGAACCCAGTGGGTTCCGGAACCCACTGGGTTAGTGCTTTTGATGAATATCGATTCTACCCTGGAGCAGAATCGATATTAAAAAAAAAGCACTAACCCAGGGTTCCGGAACTCACTGGGTTCGTTGATGAATACGGCCACTGGTGTGGCATTCGGGTCAGGATCAGAGAAAGCAGCGAGTTTTTTTTAAATTTCAGTAGCAGTTTAGAATAATAGGCATTAGACCGTGAGCTTCCATGCTCTGTACTGGTTGGACTTTGTAAACATATATAGGGTTTCTGAATATTTGGCGAACACTGAATGGAGGATCTGACTTAGCCACTGCATATTGGCTACGCATATAGAATTTCCTAGTCTCTGCAGAAAGCCACAGACTCAGATCTGCCCGAAGACTACTTTTGTGCCAGTTCTTCTCATTTGCCGCACGCATTCATATCAGGCCAAACGTTTTTCTTGTTGTGGAATTTGGCTATGTAGCCTTGCAGTCTCTTCCTAAATCGCTTTCTTTACGTAAGCGGGTAGCTTGTTAGGCAAGTAGCCTGGAGAGGTATTGCCATCTTGAGCTACTGCTTATAGTTCCGCTTTTCTTACAGCTGGATTTGAATAGTCCCATGCACAATCACATTTCGCTTTGATATCTAGACATCACGTTGACATTTACGAGAGAGTTACAGATTCGTCTTCACCTAGTACGTTGTGCCTGGACGATGATGATGATGTAGAAAATGCATGCCAAGCTTCAACTTCTGTCACTTCAAAGGTAATGTATATATTTCTTTTAAAATGAATAAATACACAGCATCATTTTGGACGCGAATTATATATGAGCATAGTGCAAGAGTAGAGGAACGAGTACTGTCAAACGTTACTTCCGCCGACTCCTGGTGCATATTTTAGTTGGTTAATTCGGAATTTTTCGTTATTCTGATGTCAAACACTAAAAACACACAAACAAGAATTTCTGGCGCTAGGACGATATTCGTTTCTCTAACCCTTCCTTCGATGGTTTTTGTCATTTTGAACAAGTGATTCAATTTTAATTGTTTGCTGAAGCGCTTGGTTTTTTTCAGGTGGAAGACTCCAAGCCATCCTTGAACATCTCCAGTACATCAACCGCATCTGTCGTCAACACTTCAGTACGTGGAGTACCCGAGCTGGTTTCTCGAGGTGCTGTTTTACATTCAGAGAAAGGTGTGATTTGTTAGGGGTGGCAGTTTATCAGAATGGTATACGTGGGTGGCTTTAAAGCACCATCTTCGAAAAAATACCTTTCTTTATTATGATGAGACACGGAATTATTTCATGAATTTATTGCTGCTAAATCAATGGTTTCCTAAGTGGCATCACCCCTTCGCGAAACTCAATGAGTTTGTTCTAGATTGTTTAGCAATCTTGTTTTGGTACGCGTCGCTGATTCATTTTCCCGAGCGAATATGTTGTACGCTGTGGTCGTTTGCAAACTGGTGCGCCCTGCAGTGTAATACCAGTTTGTTCCAGACCTGACTTCACCTTCACGTTTTGAGCAAGATTTGATAGGAGTGCATTTTAATCCGGCTGCGGCACCTCTTCCCAATCTGATCCGACAGTACAGGCATGTTTGTTTTTCTGTGTAGACATTCTCAAACCAAATGAATTTTCGAGCATTTTTCAAATCTTTTTGCACATTTTCCCGTCTAACTTTTATAATAATGCTATTTATAGGGAAAAATATCTAAACGAGTTCAAGCTTTTAGACGATGAAATATGGAAACATTATGAACTTAACAGACAGGTAATTCAGTTTTTTTCTATACAATATCTGTCTTAGTGTGCTCGGCTTTAAAGCATTATTTTCATTTAGACTGAGGAAGTCTATCAATGGAAAATGGAAGTCCGAAATATCCTCTTGGCCGAGTTTCGGCCGGTAAGACAATTGTATATTTTACCACTCCTTCTATAAGACGTTTCAGGCTTTTCCTTACCAAGCCATCGAGTTGTTTGCTGTAGGATCTACTGTGAATGGTTGTGGAAGTTACAACTCAGATATGGATTTATGCCTTTGTATACCCATGGGTCCTGAGAACCTCTACTCCTCTGAAAGGATGTGAGTTACTGTTCATGTTTGATAAGAAATGTTCATGATGCGAATCAAGTTTCGCTCTCGAAGTTTTACATTTTCTCTCTTTTTATGTGTCCAAGCTTTTGTGTTTTGTTAGTATTCTGAATTGGTAGTCATACGCGCTTCCTTGTCGAATGGAAGCGCTCATTGGCGAAATATGTAGATGTTACTCAAGTTTATCTAAAGAGCTTATCTATCTATAAAGGGAAAGAAAGGGTGATCTCTCCGCCCATACGATCAAAAAACATGTAAGTAAAGGTGTGAAGACTTTTGACTTAATATTGTAATGCTACTTTTTCTTTGCTTATATGCCTTCAAAAAATGGATTTAAGGGCAGCGGTCAAAATTCTACGTAGACTCAACACAATCATCAAAGGCAAACCCTCACTGCGCAAAATAGTGAGAAGAAGCGAGGTTATTCCAGCTAAGGTATGTGATATCTGTCTATTGCAGTCATCATCACGATTATCTTCCCTTTGTTATCTCAGGTACCTATCATAAAAATGACTTTGCATCCACCATACGAGGAGTTGGATTTGGATGTAAACATTAACAATACCGCTGGCATCTACAATTCTCATCTGATTCACTATTATTCTTTGTATGTTGACAAAGTTTTCTTGAATAGCGCCTGAGTTTTGGGGATGGGATGGAGACTGAAGGCCGCTGCATAACGAAGGCGTAATACCTTTGGGCGCGATCGCGGCTTTATTAGCCGCAGAGCGCATGAGGCGCAATTTACAATGGTGAGCATACGTATGCGCTGCTTCTGCGCCTTCGTCATGCAGCAGCCTTTACATACCTCTGATGAAAATAGCATCAATCAGTTTAGCCAGTTTGAGGGAGATGCAAATCTCTATTTCAGAATTGACCCACGTTTCCCCGCTATATGTTTATTGATAAAGCATTGGGCAATCACAAATGGTATCGGAGATGCCGCCACTGGCTCTTTCAACAGGTACCTTTGGTCTTTCAGTGTGATACACAAGTATAATTCTCAATTTCAGCTACTCTCTCATTCTTCTAGTCCTGCATTACTTTCAGTGTGGTGTGCAGCCAGCAGTTCTACCAAATTTGCAGGTCAAAATTCTCCTTTCTCTTTGTGTCATTAGAGTCGTCACAAAATGCTTTCTTTCAGCATGTCTATCCTGATGTTTTCGGATGCACCCCTCCGCTTGGAGAGTTGAAACTATTTCAAACACTGCAACACTTGCCGCGTAAGGCTCAGTCTCTTCAATATGAAAGTTTGTTTGGCCCATCTTAGTTAAGCTTTGTGACTATATTGTGTGCACCTAAACCATACCAACATATCGAGCTGTAATATCGAAAGTGATGTTGCGCTCTTTATAACTGTTGTCAGGTGTGCAGATTCAGTAACTTTAGGCAAAAATCACAAGTCTGCGCCATCTGTATACCGTAGCCCGCCATTGCTGCAGTACCGCATTTAATCCCTTTTAATTATTTTTCCGCTTTATTGTCGCTCTTTTGATTAGACACTCGCATTGCTTAATACATCGCATTCTTCGCCAGATTTGTCCAAGACCGCGAACGATTGCTGCGCGCGTTGATTAGGGATTGAAAAACTGGGCGTGGGCACTCCCACACATCATGTATGGTTCTTACTTCAAATTGCACATGGTTTTTCAGCTAGGCCGTTAAACACACAAACAGTGGGAGAACTTCTGGTTGGCTTCTTCCACTATTATGCCTCATTCGACTTTGAGAATGTCGCCATATCAATGCGAAATGCTTGTGTCTTCTCCAGGTATCGATATTTGATAGAATAGAATAGATATCATTTCCAGTGTTCAGAAGAGAGCTGAAACTCGAGACACTTGTTTTTCGAGTCTTCATCGAGGAACCTTTTGACAGGAACAATACAGCTAGGTTGTTCATTGGTTGAAATTCCACATAACATTGGCGTTAATCACCGCTCCAGATGTGTCACAAAATCATATGTAATGGAACGTATTCAAAGAGCATTCCGACAAGCAAGAGATGTCTTCTCAAAATCTCCACCATCACTTCAGAGGATAAAGGTTACTGTTTAGTATATCAGGGGTATCATACATATTTGCACACATTATGGTGCAGTGTAGATTCGATTAGATAGTTCTAATGACAGTGTTCTCCTATTAATCTCTTACAACTGGATACGACATTTGCTCAGTAAGCCTGTGTAACTATGGTCCGAAAGTTCGCACGGGTCAGAAAGCGAAACTCGTATAGTTGTTCTTGCCTGCTTGGAATTCAAGAGAAGGGAACGTGGATATGGAACAATTCCATTTGTTAATTCTCTTTCACTACCACATCTGCATGTTCTTGTTTTCTAGCAGGAAATCTAATTTCACAGCTTTCACGTTCTTTGTTTGCATTGATACTTGTTGATTTCTTTGTTAGTCACTTGAATAAAATCATAAACAATCTGCTGAATATAGGCTCATAACAGTGAATGTTGTGCGTAAAGTCTGGTCCTAGACGAGCGGTCCTGTAGAGGGACACATGCGCCGCCTGAGGCGCAAGCGGCTTGTTGGGACCATTGCGATTCAGCAATTCAGAAGCAGTCGAATGTTTCTAGTATGGGATTTCAAGTGCCAGCACACCTTCGATACCTCAACAATAGCCGTGTACGGTATCTGCTGTACGTTTTCATATAAGAACTTATGGGGCAGCAAACGACGCAGATGGTAACGTCGTGGCATAGGTGCTAGGCTACAAAATCATACATTTGAGTTCGTTTCAAGTGTTAACCTTTCGCTGATGTATGCAGTGTATGTTTTGAGCATAAAACCTTCTAAGCTCTGAGCACGTTTCACTTAAGTCTGACTACGGTATAGCAGTGCCTTGCGCGTGACCTAATAAGACAGTGTGTGGGTAGGAAAATTTAAATGTTCTTTACAAACTTCGCTCACTACGACCACTTTCTTTGTCTTAGTCATTCTGTGATCGAACAATATATTTTCGCAAAACACAAATCTGTTTTCCTCTATTTAGAAAAACGGTTTTTTACGAAATACTTTCTCGCGATCTCAAAGAAAAGGGGCTTAGTTGAAGGTGGAACAGATAGCAATAGTTTCACATTCAAACGGATTGGGACTCAGAGTTAATCGGAATGCGCAGCCTAGCACACTATCTACTAGAGCAACATGTCGGTGCTGGCTGTGCTATCAGGGTCTACACTCATCATGAACCGCGCGAAAGAATCTGCGTAATTCTCCGTAGTCTATCCCAATCGGGACAGTCCGAAGCGTTTGCGTGCATTTTGCGCTCGCAGCGCCAGGGGTTTGCGCTGCACATGCGCACTGACGAAGAGAGCGGGAAGATTGAAGAGAGAGAGCAGACAATCAGGCCGGAGGCGTGACGCTCAACCGTAGCGACGCGCTTTCCGACATGTTTTGGCATGATGGGGATTGATTGGCACAAAGTGCAAGCAGAAACGCGCAGCAGGTACCGAATACGGATTTGGCTAAGATGCTGGTATCTACCTCGTCTCAAAGTGCCACGGATCTGGTATCCTTCCCTTGAGTAGGCGGGGGCAGATCCAGCAATCACGCTTATCGAGTTAATCAGATCGTAACCAACAAGCGGGATCACTCCTATACAAGGTTGACTGTTCATTTTAACTCAAAGTACTTCATCGGGTTTTTTGCTCTCATTGTGTTGAGGTTGTAGTTATGGTACTTGAAGCTATTGTGCGATTAAGGGGTGATATCACTCGTTGCGCAATTTGGTACTACTGTAATCATCGGGCTTGTTTTGCTAGTCTCTGTGCCGTCGCAAATCAAGGCTTAGAGGCAAAAAATAGCATGCCTCTGAATCTGTTGAGTTCCCCCTTACTAAGGTCTGCAGTCCAAGCATTTTGTTCAGCATTGGAGCTGTCTATGGGCTAATCAGAAAAATGCCACGATCATCGTTAATGAGGGTTTTCACTTTTATAGACAGACTATGATTATTTATTGAGATGAAAAGTACATACTTCAAGAATAGAGTGCAAATAAGATAATTAATCGCTGTATGTTTTGCTTTGGTAATGCTACCTTGGTCACCCGTTCTTTAGCGTAAAAAAGAACACTCGTATCAAGTGCTACTCAACCATGCGGTAAGAGATCCATATCCTATGATGAGCGTTCGCCCTACGAACTTATGCTGAACACTACTCAAGTAGTTGAGAGAAAGGCATAGGGTAAAACAATATGCGCTGATGTTATCGACATGGTGGTGCGGAATTGAAGACGTGCGCGAAGTCCACCAGCGGAAGCATGACCATAGAAGCGATGAAGGAACCGATCTGAAATTGTGGGGTTCCAGCAACCATGTGTATTTCCTAACAAATCTGATCGTTCTTCCCAATTTTTTCATCACTCAATGATGACGTTAAAGTCTGAAAACAAATCAAATTCTACCACATCGTAGAATTCAATACCATGTTTTGTATGATCTATCTGTAAAATTGCCACATATGGATGCAAACCCTATTGTCGCGGTTGAAATTTATATTCTTTTTCAAGGGGATCAAGAGTTCGCATCTAAGCCTACTAGAAATTCATACCAGGATATGGTGTTCGCCTTTGCTGATTACAGTTGCGTGTAAAAACTCTATGAGCTCGAAACTAACTGTGCGTCAGGCCAGTCGCCCATTTTTCAAGCACAACGTTTTTTTTTTTGCACGAATGCTGTTAAGCGCAGAGGTACTGATAACCAGGGTCGGGAAGAGGTCTTGCACACATTCGCAACCATTGATAGCCTAAACCTCCTAATTTACACAAAAGTGATTTGAGCATGATTGGTCGATGATGTTGATATGATAATGGTGATGCAGATGCCCAAACATTGACCACAAACAAGCTTGGAGGCAGCTCCGCGAGTTTTGAACTTCCCAGGCTGCTATCATAAAGAAATACTAGGACCCCGAACAAGAACTACTGTTGCAAACCCGGTCCTCAAGCACTGCCTCTATAGAGAGAAAATCGGGCGCAAGTCACTAGAGATAGTGCAGTCCGCCCACTCTGTCGTGCCGCCCGCCTCAGTGAAAGACCCCTAGTCCTTGACGTTTTTACATGACAAGCACAATCGAATGTATGATTATTACTCAATCAAAGTTAATGAACGATTTGTTTCCGAAATGGCGAGTGCCTGGGCATCGGCTCCTGAAAACCGCAAAAATGCGTTTAAGTTCGACTTTAGAATGATGTTACTTAGCATCACTTATACTTTTTGACTTTAAACCTTATAATTTGCGGGATATTCGTCAGAATGTACTATTAAATATTGTTTGCATGAATTCAAAGAACTTACCTGCGTAAAAAATCCGCACCAGAACAATTTTGACTCGCTGTTGGTGCAATTACGCAAACGAGAAGCAAAAGCCACCCTCAAGTACGAATGCAATCCTGCAGCCACAAGAAATGCAGTGATCTGATTGTGAGTTTGTTCAACAGTATTCAGTCGGCTTTTTTCAGTAAACAAATAGTCCTCACCGAAAGCGCACTTCCGGCGGTTTTTAAATCGAAAATCATTGATGGACTGAGCGCCGCCAAGTAAACTAGAAAAGCTGTAGTAAGCGTGGACATCGCAGCAAGCGGCAGTAGGATTGATAATCTCCTGGAATACTTATCATCTGTACTTAAGCCGAGAAAATTGCAGTAACTTACTTGATGATGACGAAGAAAGACAAAAATGATGCAGCTGGTATGACAATGTTCGAAAAGGTAATACTGTAATGGTATGTCTGTTGCGAGTAAGGAAGTGTAGCATAACTGGAGATACTGGTGATGATTCCGTTCATTTGTGCACTTATTAGAGCCGTTATCAAGAGGATCACGATATATGAAGCTCTTGAAAGCTCGTTTGGTCCTGCGGAAATCTAAACAGGACCAATATTGTAAGACCACACTTTCTCAAAATTATTTCTGGTGAGTAAGTGCTGACTATCTGCTCTCTGGAAGATGAACTTGTTGTGGCAGGCGTTGTCGAGCGAGTCTCCTGATCCACCTCAACCATCGGTTCACTAAATTCATCTAGATCTTTTGTGATTTGTGAGAGCAAGCAGAAGAAAAATGAAGAAGAACAATGCGTGCTTAGTACTTAATTTTTGTTACCAACATAGTCGTACTTTTATACAAACTTACAACTCATGTAAATGGCTGCCTATAGTGTGGATCGAAAGAGGGTCGGGGTGGAGGGCGAATAAGCCTTCGCGAATGGCGCAACATACTAGTTTACATATATGAAGAACTTCGTTTTTTGCGAGTAACCAAATTTTTATAAAGCTGGTTTAGGTCCGTAAGAATTTTTTTCGGAGCATGGCTTGAGAACTATTAATCTGAGGTACTCTCGGAAACCCCCACAATGGTCGGCCGCCTCATCGTGGCGTGGGGGTGACACTGGGTGTCGAACTGCGATGCACAGCCGAGTGTATACTCTGGCAGGGCCTCCCAAGCTGTGAAGGAGTTCGACGTTTCCGGTTTCGGCCGGATGCCTAGCTAAGAGCCGGCCAAGCCAGATCCACCGCCGTCTGGTTTTCAGGTCGCTAGACGGTTCTCCCCGCTCCAAGCCCGGGGTCAGCGATCGCCCCGTGGAAATCAAGAGTTGGCCTAGTAAGTCTGCTCTTGTAGGGGAAAATTCATAGTACTCCTCCAGTTAGAAGATTAGAAAGAAACCCTGCACAGCGGATCCCGCCTACGGCGCCGGGTTTTAGCAAGACCGATGTCAGGGTCCTCAGGGCGCCTTTTGGATTGAACAAAAACGACACGTCTGCCCGGACGATACGCCATGGAGACTGCCTCATGCTCTGCACCTACAAACCAGGACAGTTTCTATAAACGCCGACCTCCACGCTCTTCTCGACACTGCTCGCATCGAGTACCACATCATCGCTCTGCAGGAAACGAAGTCCAGGAAGAAGGACGTGCGACAGATGAATGATGAGACGCTCATCATTCGTGGTGAGAAGATTCCATCACGAAACGTGGGAGGCGTTGGCTTTGTCGTCCACCCATCTATCGTCCATCTTGTCGATTCGCACGAGTCCTATCACCCCGACTAGCCATCCTACGACTACGCCCTACACGTCAGAAGACCATCAGCATCATCAACTGCTACTCTCCAACATCAGCAGCTGACGACTCAGAACTAGATGCTTTTTACGACGACGTGGAGGAGGTCGTCCGCAACGAAAAGTCCTTCTACAAGTATGTTGTGGGCGACTTCAATGCGAAAATCGGGATGCCACTATAAAAGGAATATAGGATCGGGAAGTTTGGATATGGGCTCCGGAACGAAAACGGCAGTCTCGCTGGGCTTCTCTCCGCCGCACGACTCTTCCATGGAAATTCCATCTTCATGAAGAAAGAACATCGCCGGTGGACATGGGAATCGCCCAACGGAACGACTCACGCGGAGATCGACCACATTCTCACCAACCGAAGGTGGAGCTTGCTCGATGTCTCAGTAGTTCCATCCTTCTGCAGTGGCTCCGATCACCGCCTCCTTCGAGCGAAGATACGACTCAGCCGAAGGCTGGAAAAGAAAGTCTGTCACAGTGCCGCGAGAAGGAAGGAAGTCGGAACAGGCTGGAGGAGCTCATGTCAAGATGTGACTGGCCCATCGAGGAGGACCCGACGTACGACTACGACCGGCTTCTGAAAGGATTGCGAGCCTGCGGAGAATGTGCCTCAGTGACTTCTGAGAAGAACTTGGAACGTATTTCGAAGACCACCAAGGAATTGCTCGAAAGAAGAAGATTTCTGAGGCAGGATCCGAATGCAACCCATCTCGAGCGACTGATAGCCAACACCAGTTGCAGAACAGCTATGCAGGAGGATCTCAGGAAGTACAGGCAAGCCAAGATACTGGAAGCAGCCGAAGGAAGACGAAGTCTTAAGAAATGTCGAAGGGACCTCTGTGAATATCACGTACCGCTGGCTGCACTATTGAACGAAGACGGGACTCCGACTTCTTCCCGATACAAGATGGAATCTATCGCGAAGAACTTCTATACCAACCTCTTCCGCTCATCAACACCCGTGCCGATGCCCGTTGTTCCCACTGGAGAAGTACCACCACGAATTCTACCTGCTGAAGTGCGCACGGCGATTCAGACCATGAAGACATCCACGGCTCCAGGACCAGACCATCTTCCCGTCGAATTTCTGCGAGCCGGAGGACAACGTCTACACGAGATTCTCGCATCGCACCTGACATCTTACCTTCATAAGGAGAGGATTCCCGACCAGTGGAGAACGTCAAGAACCGTCCTTCTTTTTGAGAAGGGTGAACGGGAAGATCTTCGAAATTACCGTCCAATATGCCTGCTGAGTGTGCTGTACAAGCTCTTCACGAAGATTATCCTCGCACGCATATCTAGGACAATGGATGAAGCCCAACCCCAAGAACAAGCTGGATTTCGCAAAGGATTCAGCTGCATGGACCACATCCAGACGGTTTCGAGGGTCATAGAAGTCTGCCGGGAGTACCGACTGCCTCTCGTCCTAACCTTCGTCGACTACGAGAAAGCCTTTGACAGCGTCGAAACCAACGCCATCCTGTCTGCGCTAGTCGATCAAGGAGTGGAACCAGCTTACGTGAGGACACTAGCCGACTGCTACAAGGACTGTACAACAACGATGCAGCTATTCCATAGCCCCCTAACCATTCCAATTGGGAAGGGGGTTCGACAAGGCGACACTACTTCGCCGAAGCTGTTCACTGCGGCCTTGCAGTGGGTGATGAAGTCACTAGACTGGGAAGAAAGAGGCATACGAGTTGATGGAAGATTCCTATCCAATCTTCGTTTTGCGGATGACATCGTCCTTTTCTCGAGCAGTATCACTGAAGCAGAGGAGATGCTAAAGGAACTAAACGAAGTAGGGAAGAAGATCGGACTGCGAATAAATCGGAAGAAGACTCAGTTCATGAAGAACGCCCTTTGCGAAGATGCAGAAATGGAATTGGAAGGTACCCCTATTATGGAGACGTCTTCTTACGCGTATCTCAGACGTTCGATGAACATGGAGAACGACTTGAGGGAAGAACTCAACAGGAGAAGAAGAGCAGCCTGGGCCGCCTTCGGGCCTCTGAAGGAAGCCACCGACCAACTGACGGACCCGGAGCTTCGTGCCCACCTGTTCGACTCAACCGTTCTCCCAGCGCTCTGCTACGCAGCTGGGACTTGGGCCGACACCATAGCCACGTCGAAAGCTTTAAGGACCACCCACAGAGCGCTCGAGCGTAGTTTTCTGAAGATGACCCGACACAAGCAACATCTAGTCGGACTTCGCAGCACGGATTTGAGAAGAATGTCCCGTCTTCGTGACCCAGCGGAATACATTGCGAAAGCGAAACACCGATGGGCCGGTCACATAATGAGAAGAACGGACGATGATGGACACTAAGAACATCTGAGTGGATTCCTCGCGAAGCCAAACGTCCTCGAGGAAGACCACCGACGAGATGGGCAGACGTGTTCGTGGAACGGATGAACCAGCTGAGAAATCAGCTGGATACGATTTTCGCCCCTGGAACTCGTGGACGCAGCCACCGACGACGACCAAGAAGATCGTGGATGTCCGAAGCGAGGGACAGAGATCAATGGCACCTTCTGTACTGGGGCCCGCACGTCACGTGAGGACGGGCCATCTAAGTATCTAAGTAAGTAAGTAACTAAGTACTCTCGGAAAATTTTTGCCCGCACTGCTGCCGACAAACCCCGTCTTTCATCCTACTCGTCGCACTTCTTACCTCTCACCAAGTCTTTTCTGCATGCACATTCTATCAACAGCTTCGAAGACACAATTCTCGAATATATACGCCTTGCAGCACTCCTAACTAGTCTTTAGTTTTATTCTACTCGTAATCAAACACAGTGAGCCTTCTATAAGTTTTTTAGGCTTCACTTCTTTCAGTTAGTGTATGGACTAGACTTACTTTTCAGCAGCCCTTCGCTTCAGAATGAGGAAAGCGACAGTTGAGATACAGGTTGAAATAAATATTATGCCGAAGAAGACTCCTGCGCTGAACCGAGGTGCTGAATAATGGGGCACACCTTCAACGCACTCGTAAGTAGATGTTCCTAAACACTCATATACAGCAATCAAGTGGTAGTAGTTTTTTGGATGGCAGTTGTAACCCACTAAAGCCTTAGAAAAATGCGATTCGGTGATTCGGACTTACCCTGTATAAGAGCTAAGATGCTTGGAATCAACGAAGAGAAACCCATTCCCACAAAATAAGCATTGAGGTACGAGGGATGAAACTTTGCCATAAATGGCATGAATAGAACATTCGAGATAACGTCAACGAGGGCTAGACCGAATAGGAGCACGAAGAGTGCGACAGAGCAATTCCTGCTCCCAATAGTAGCTGTCTCACTCCAGAGAAAAGCTAGGCCTGCAAAGGTCAAAGTTAACAATGTGTTAAACCAAACCTTTTTGGAATCTTTTCTTTACGAACGTTGATTTTGAAAGTTTCAAAACTCTTTTTTCTACCTTGTGATGTCGAACAAAATCTCGCTGCAAAAACATTAGTCTTTCTCACCTAATTGACAGATACATGCCAATATTAGAAAGCACAGGATCAATCGTGTGTGAGAAATCGCGATAGCTTTACATCCCTTGGCGACAATGGTGTAGATAAGAGGCCCGATGCATGCAATCTAGATATCATAGATTTAACCTGACCAAAAAGATGCCTTGTGAAGTAGAAAAAAAAACACCAAGCACCAGTTTTGTATGATGATTTAGAGCCCAAGCACTGACGTTGACTAACAATAAGTTGACTTTGCAGGCACCGTCCCCCCAAGTTGAAGGTGATGAGTTTTTGATGCTTTATAGTAGCAGGACCCCGGCTAAGTAAACGCCCCGGTCGCGCTTCAAAATATAAATTCCAAGGCGAGAAAATTGCTTCAGAAGGTAGAAGCGGCCGAGATGGCTTAGCCCATCGGTGCATGTGGTTTGATGATAAATCGAAAGTTGGCGTTGAGATAGATAATGTCCCGAATCTGATAACGTGGTAATTCTAGGTACATAAAAGCCCAATTTTCGACTTATATTTTCGGACCACCTACATTGATGGGCGGAGCCTCCATGGGCGTTTATACCTTCTGGAGTGGTTTCTTTGTTTGGAAATTCATCTTTTGCAGCGAGACGTGAGCGACCACTTAGTTAGAGACTCGCTATCATATACCATCAAAATCTCACCATCCACATTGGAATGAATGGTGCCTTTAACAATCGCCAAAAGTTACTTTCTCGAGATGCAGATTTCATTCTCTCATTAGACGTAGACAACTTAGTTCATGCTTCGTAGAATCCTCTAGGTGCCCGACCTGTACAACTGCAGAAATATAACTGGGTAGGTTCCAACCCTCCGGCAACTCAGAAGTGAGTAGGGGTAGCTGCATCCATACAGAATTTGTGCCGATCCAAGTAACTGACCCGAATATTACTACCACCACCAGAATGAATATTGAAGACATATTCTAAAACATTCAGTTTAGTGGAAAACAAGGCAAATATTTGCATTTTGCGAGCAAAGTACATCCTTTCGCGAAGAATCACCTATCAGTCCAAATTTCTCCCACACGATAACGACAGGCGCGAAAAGATATCTTTCGTGCTCTCTATTCAACAGAAATGCGGCAACAAAATGACAATGGAATGCAAACAAACCAATGATGGATATTAAAATCAGGTGAAAATAAATTACCAAGAGGCACCTATAAGATATACTTATGATAGGAATTAAATCGGGTATACTTATAACATAATGCGCAGAACGATGATGCGCATCTAGTCTTTGTTTCACGCGATGGCCTGAGTGAACAATTTGCGAAGTGGTACAGAGAATCATTTAGGTCAAGATTTCAGAACTTTTCTTTCACCATCAAACCTATAGTAGTAAAGAAAGCAATTGATTCAACAAATTGGAGACAAGGAAATAAAACATGAAGCCAAACGATTTACAATCTTTCATAGATAACCACAATCCTCAAGATCTTTGGAAGTTGGTTATTTAGAACAAAATTATCAGTTAGACCCGTCACGACATTGAACGATTCGGTTTCGCCCTGCGACAGCTACGTACTCAAAAAAGGCCTTGCAAGCTCCCTACATGTCATTTGATAACGCCGACTGTACTAGTCTAAATGTCAATTCTGGTGATGATGTACTGCTGGTACAGTTCCCTCCCAACTACGGAGTGGGTGGAGACGCGGCTTTGATTGGCAGTTTTTGTTAGGGTAAGATCGAAAGGCAAGCTGATTAGATATTAGAAAATTTTCTGTTATCCGATACTGTGATGTTCCGCCCACTCGCCCATGAAAGAGGACGATATCATCAGGAATTCTAAAACCGAATCACTTATAACCCTGTCTGGGAAACAGCAAAAAATAGGATTTTTTTTTGCTGAACGTAAAAAATACGGGTTGTTTCTATCACATTATGCAATTTACTGATAAGAATAGCTCCATCTAATCCTGCACTGCCTCCTCCCACTTTTTCCGATGACATTTTCCTCTCTCGTAAACTTATTAACATAACATCCAGGGATATACTTGGTGCAAAATAAAAAGCGCAAAAGTTACATATTTATAAACGTACTTACGCTGACCTTTTCCTTCTGAGACATGGTAGCGCAACTCCAGTGCAATGAGCGGAATGGAAAGGTAAATGGTGAGAGCACAAAAAGAAGTATCTTGCACACCAAAGATCTTGACCGAAAGGATAAGTAGATGTCATGTCAACTGAATTTTGAGTAAACTCCTTAAGCAAAATGCAATCTTGAGAAAAGAAACACAATGCGTTTCGCCATTGTGGATTGACAACAGCAAAGTTCATTGAATATTTGCGATAACGGTATCCAGTTCAGGTACACTCGAAAGAAATTCTGCAAATGCAAAAGTAAAGAAGATTTTCTCTGGGGCCTTTTCCTGCATGAGACAGAAAACAAACATTTTTCTCAGCGCTGCAACGATTAGCGATGTGGCAATAGCACAAAGCTTATTTACACTTGTTATTGCAACTTTCCAGAAAAATACTGACGAGAAAATGGTCAGAACTTGAACCAGCCATATCATCGGACTTTGTAACGCTAATAATATCAAATATATGTTTATTATCTGCCAAAACTATATGGAAGGAATTATGAGCGTTCACATATGAGAAATTTTCGAGTTTTCACGAATATATTTCCTTTAAAGTGACTGATGGCGCGGGTTTACAGTGGCTATGGTTTTGTTACAAGGAAGAAGCACATTTACCGAAAACCTAAATAGCACATTTACCAAAAACCTGAATGAGTGTTTTTGAAACGTATTTCGTGGAACATGTGCCTTAGAACACTGACAAATCGCACATTTAAACGCTCATAACTCCTTCCAGATAGTCGTTTGGCAGATAATAAACATATATTCGTGAATCAGCGTTTCAAGGCGGGTCCTACGATATATATGGCATGTCTGGTATGGCTGGATTGAGTTCTGGTCATTCGCTGAGTTTGATTGCATAGTCGCTGACAGTAAAATCATTCAAACATGTCCATTTGGCCAGTAACAATCCTGCATGTTCTGGAGAAGGTAAACAATAATGACTTTAAGTGTGGAAAGTAATGGAGACGTATATGGGATAAGAAATGTACGACGTATGTGAGAATAGGTAATGAGATGCTGTTTCAAAAACGTTGAAAAGACGGGATTTCGGATATTTCTTGAAAAAACAGCTTTGTAAGAATATAGTCTTTACTGCGATTTGCCGCGAATGCAGCTATGTTATCAAAATTTTATTCCAACGATTGTGCAAAAAGCGCATGACGTTGATTTGATGTTTTGATGACGAGGCGTGGAAGCGAGGCTGTTAACATAGACAAAAACTACACGGGCAGCTGCAGATTACCGCTTCATCAATATTGTAATCCGTTCCAGCGGACTATGGATTCCCTTATAAAGACTTGTCCTTACTGCTTACAATGCACTTTTATTCACTGAGGATCGATGACAAAACACAATAAGTTCGCACTTTCTCGCACTCAAAGCTATGTTGCAATATCGCCTCAGCAAAGAGCATGCCAGAGAGCAAACGAAAAAAATAGCACGATGGTCCTAACAAGATGAGTTTTCTTTCCAGAGTGGAAGTATTTCAAGCAAAAATGAGTGCCTTGAAAGTGTCTTTTGATAGCAAAGTGTTCGTGTACATGGACAAGAACAAGAAGGACAAAGGACAAGAAATAAAGGCTTTTTTTAATAGTTGAGAACAGACGCGAATGAAACGATAGAGAGCGGGAAAATAAGCGAGTTGAAAATCGATGAATGGCTTGTTTATGTTGCAGAGAACATAGTTCACCCAGAGTAATATGCTGTTAATTAGCGCGCACTTTCATAGTTGACAGAAAAATAGGCGACTATCTGTTCAAAAAAGTAAGTGGTTTTTGTTTCACATAGGCGTTGCTATGGAAAGGCTCATCAAAGACTACGTTTTGCACTTTTGACACCTTACACTCCCCGCCGACTACAATTGCACAGGTTGATAGTTAAGCCATCGCAGAAAGCGAACATATTGAAAAAAAAAAACGAATTGTGGGATCGAAGCAACGATCTCTCCACACCTTTCATAGATATAAATATGTAAAACACGTCGTTAGATTTTTTTTATTCATGATATGCATTGGTAATCATTATTCGAAGCATAATCTTGAAAGTTCAGAGGAAGAAAGTGCAAAAAGTTTTGATACTCACCCCTTTCCCCAATTTTTGCAAAACATTCTCAGAGAATAAAGCCAATGAACTGCTGTTGGACAAAGTACAGTCCGTAATTACTACTTAAATCCTCATAGATGGCAACAGAAAGAATGTGCAAATTGCAAAATTCACGTGGTTTTCAAATGAACGAGTAAATTTTTCGGATAGACTAATGTGAAAAACTGCTTAGTGTCAATTTTTCCTTATCGCTATTTCAGTTATCACACCAAGCCACAATCATGTTTCAGAAAAAGGGCGAGACTCCCAAATTATCCTTGTCTATTTTCTGTGCCATAGCAGAACAGAAATGAGTAGCAAATTTAGTGATAACCTAAAATTATAGGTTGCCAGCACCTTGGTTCATAATGTGAAATGCTCTTCAAGACAGCGAAGTGATGAATGGCGTCAAATGCTGGTATAAAGAGAGCGATAGAATAAATATGTGAGAACCTGCAATCAACTGCAGATAATGCAAAGTTTACATGTTTTGTAACGAGGAACCGTTGAGATACGCGACTCTAACTCTTGATAATACGTATCTGATGGAAGGTGTCATTCCGATGGGCGAAACAAAGAAAACACAGAAAATCAGCAGAAGCATAAAGATGAAACTACAAAATCAGTCAACCAAATGACCAATCACGACCGAAATTCTGATGCATTTAGCGTCTATCTTTAAAAGAAACGTCATTCTGGAGCAAGATTCACCGTACTCAACTTTTAGCTATCCATTGATTCTGTAGGCAAACAGACTAAAAAAGCAAAAAAACGCAAATAGACGCAAACACACAAACTAGCAAAGCTAAATTGAAAATAATGATCACTTCATTGGTCTTTCACGGCGAGCAGTGGAAGCGAAAAGGCATCTGGAGCAACGGCAGACAAACTTCTTGATTTAGTTTGAAACGAGTCCGTAGAAGGATGATTGTATCACAAAATAGAAAGCAATGACACTGGATCGCAACTTTCTATTTTGATTATCGATCATATTTGTCATAGGATGTATACACAAGTGAGATTTATTGATAACATCTGTATCTACTGCATCAATGACTTCACGCTAGACTCAAAAAAAAATCAAAACATTTTGACTGGCGTTGCCAAACCCAGCCGTCAAAATGGTTCATAAGGCAAGAACGAGACGCGATAAGGACATGATAAACGTCTTCAAAGTTGCATGTGCACGTCAGAATTAAGTTGGAATGAACAATGAGACAAGACTTGCAATTTCATAGATCGTGTACAGGATAGCACAAAAGTGTATACCACACGGTTTGGTTCATAGTTCCCTGCTCAGAAATCTTTTGCCAGCTTTCGACTACGTTCTGTAGAGAGTGCTTCAGCTTAAGATTACAGCATGGAATGTAATAAAGATAGCTGTTTATTACTGTAAGAACTGTAGGAACTTAAAGCACAACGTAAAATATTGTAGACTGAAAAAAAGAAAATAAAATGTGTGCTAAAAATTCCCCCAAAAATTTGCAAACTTCTGTAACAGCTTCACGCTTGCTGATATACAACCTTTTCCCGAGTTTTAGGTCAGTTGAATCGTATAATTATATTTCTGGAGACACTGAAATAGCCATCGTTACGGCTTATCTGGCATGATGATAGAGAAAGCATTATGGAAGAGTGCAAATTTCACACTCAAAGTCAGCGATTCTAGTTACCTCTGGTGTATCGTTAGGTTCTCCTTCTCAAGAAGAATATGCCCTTCAGCGGCTCGGAACTCTCCAACATTCCCACTCTAGTCCTACGGTAATGAGGGGAGATCGGTAGATCGCTTTGTAACTTAAACCAAATTGAGCCAGCTCTGCACAGTAGTCCCAAAAGTCCGCAAAAGGCTATTTAGGAAGAGGGAATAACAACGATCAAACAAAGTGTATTTTTCTGGAACACCCTTGGACCGTTCGAATGAAACAGCTGACTGCAAAATCTCAGTTTGTTTAAAATCTGCATTTGGTTCCGATTTCTCAATTAATCAAACTTTATGTACCACGCAGACTTAAAACTTGATATCAATAAGGGTGCCAAGTAGGAGTCGCTGAACATGAAGGAATTACTAGAGCCCGGAATGCTCAGGCTTAGTGAGTTTCAAGAACAATTTTTTTGCCATGTTTGGCCCCGTTTCGAAATTGCCACTGTTCATTGAAGGCCGCAAATAAAGCAGTAAAAAATTCCAACAGCGAATTAGCTCACTCAATAATCTTTGAAGCCAGTTTACACATTAACCACATGCATTGAATTTCAGATGATTCATTCTATTAGGTTGTAAAGAAAGTTCTCGGGCACTTTTGGAAATTTAATTTTCAAACGCATTTTTTTGGCGCTCGGTCGGACTTCGACGCCAAGTTTTTATACTATTCAGTAGAGGGAATCCTGAAGCTTTCAATACGCCTTCTGACTTTTATCGATGCCAACACGTGTTTGATCTTCACATCAAGAAGAGAAATCTTTTCAACCACAAAAATTTCACAGTTTCTCTTTTTACGGCCATTTTTTTGTGCAGTTCAAAGAATTTCGTCCAAATCATGGGTGATCTGATTGCAAAGCCTGTAAATTTCTTACCTGCAACTGCACTCGAGTTTTGCGATTTGCGCTTAGAAATTACAAGCTGTCGAACCTGCCTCTGACTGCAATTCTTTTCACAGCTGGCGTCGATTCTACGGGGATCGCCACGCCTGGATGATGGGTCCAAAAAATGTGCAAGGCATTACCCCACTAATGTTGCCAGTAATCAAAGAATTGTTCCTTTCTGTGCAGAACTAGAACACTTCAAAGTCATTTACTCGAAAATGGTGCATTTTTGGGGGCAAAAAATGGTTGATTTTTCAAATTTTTTGGGAAAAACTTTTTTGCAGCTGGTCCTTTAAAAACATGAATGGTCCCCATAACAGCCCCAGCAGACCTCTATATAACTACAGCATCTGGGCTTTGCAGGTCTCATCCTGCCTGAGATAATCCAAATATGTAGGCCACTTTTCGCAACGACCTTTTTTCCCTTCTGCGCATGTCGGTGGACCGCAGTGAGGTGCTGAGAAGCCAGCAAGATAAATATATGTTGTGGACAAAATTGTCTTTGCAATGAAGTTTGTAGCTTGAAAAAAGAATCAATCTGCTTGAAGTTACAGCAATTTGAAAAAAAAATTTTGCAAATGCCCGGGAACTTTTTTTACAACCTAATACATTCAGATTTCTGATTTAGAGAGTTATTTCTGAATGAACAGATAAACGAACACTTCGACGTATGGGAAAGTATCTATCATTCATTCTCTGACCAAGAGACGCGAGCACGCTATGCGCACGTTGATCAACAAGTTCTTGAAGGAGTTCTAATGGGATTTGGTTAATTACAATCAGAAATTCGTGAAAAGACGTGTTCAAGCCAGCGTTGGTTAACGAGCTTAAACATGTTTTCCACATTGTAATAAAATCAACCAAAACGCGTTGAAACTCATTCATGAACTTGTTAATGAAATGTATGCCGAGCGGGCTCTCATCTCTTGGTCAAAGAATGAATGATATATGAAATGACACATGACAACAAGGTAAATACGCAATGTTTCCGATATGTTACTCAAAAAACCAGATCGCACAGTGGATAATCGACAATCTATGATACTCCAAAAGAGCGAAGTTCCGGTTGAGATTAAGAATGCATGACATCAACTTTGCGCATGCTGAGCATATTTACAATACCGCTCGTAATCTGTTGCAAAATAATCGGGGCGGTCGCCGGAGTTGGCCGAACTTCGCATCGCATTGCCATGTCTTCTTCTGAGTGGACAAACTTTTGTCCAAGGGCACCACTCGACTCAGCTCATGGCGCATCTGATATATGGACATGCTTGTTTGGAGGGTACGTTCGCATAGGCAATCAGATTTGACGAATAAATTCAAATGCTGGCATTCTACCGAATGCATGACATCAACTTTGCGCATGCTGAGCATATTTACAATACCGCTCGTAATCTGTTGCAAAATAATCGGGGCGGTCGCCGGAGAATGATGAAACGCAGACAGGCACAGCACAAAAATATGTACACTGGTTGCGATAGACGTGGATCGTTGCCCAGCGGAACGTCAGCCTAACGTCCGCTCAACAAGGAAAGGAAGCTTAATACCGTGGACTTTTCAAATGAAACGTACACAAATTGCACGTATCTGAAGTGCTGATTCCAACTGCTATCGCTATCGGCTGTGCGCTCTTTTGGAAAAAATTATGAACATTTCTTGCCACCAAAATTTGCACTGTTTTGATGACAGGATTTACCAATATGATCGTTGAAATGTTCACAAAAGAGCATCTTAAGGGCAGCGTACACCCAAAAGTTAAGTTACCCATTCTCTATACCGTGTATAACATGGCCCAGAAGAAGACCAACTGGGTTCGGTTTCCCAATGTTGCTTCTGAGCGGAGAAAACCCGCCTAATTTTCCTTTTACTTCGCGTCCTTCGGATCCACGACGCATAAGCTGCAGTTGCAGTTGCTTCTTGCGGTACGCCTCCTTCGGACGAAAAATCCACGACAGCATACGCTGCATTTGTAACTTGCAGCTGCAGGCTGTCATGCCGCTCTTCACTGGCATGCCGACGAGGTCGAGCAATTCGAAACTCGCCTCTCTAAAGAGAGGGTCCCCAAGAATCGGGGTTTTTTGGGGGTTTTGGAGAATTTCAATGTCATAACTGTAATCAGAAGCATGGAAAGGTCCCAGAATGCCAAATACATCGAAGGCAAATTTTTGGATGTACGCTGCCTTTAAAGGCAGCGTCCAGGCAGATCTGGACCTATGGGGCTTTTACGTGGAAAGTGCTTTTGGGGCCCTAACTAAGGCACTGCCCAAGCGGCAGCTCAGGTAGTGCTGTAATGGCTGATATATTCCCCTCGAAACTGGACCCCGCGGCCGTGTTTCGCATGGATTCGTGGCGCAAAGCGTGGATCCTGGCGCGGAACTGCCATGAATCCATGCGAATACGTTCGCAGGGGCCAGTTTCGAGGGGAATATCTCAGCCATTAGAGCACTACCTGAGCTGCCGCTTGGGCAGTGCCTCAGTTAGGGCCCCAAAAGTACTTTCCACGTAAAAGCCCCCATAGGTCCAGATCTGCCTGGACGCTGCCTTTAAGGAAACTGTCTCCGATAAATCAAAGCCTAAAAACCTAGATAGTGACGATTATGACTGCCTAATCCGGTTAAATTAGTATGGAAGAAAGTCCATGACTTCGTTCAGAGAGTAGCACAGCAGATAATGAAGTAAATTTGGAATCAGCTTCCCAAGGCGATTTACTGGTTTAAATCTCATCGCAAAAGTCCACGTTCACCAAGTATCCTTTCCTTGTCAGGCAGGCTTCACACCGCGCCACCCGTCCGAACCCGCTGGGAACTGACAAATGAGGTAAGCGATGTAAATGTGCCTGGAGACTGGTATTTTGGAGCACGCGTGAAATATCACATGCGTTGTGAGATGTGTACATATCAGACACAAGTACATACAGTTCGTGTCAACCACGTCCCTTTTCCACCAGCCAAATCGCAACCCAAGAGCCTCGCGCCGCGTTCGCGCGCATATAGGAAACGGCCATAGGTTGTCAGTGTTGTCGGGGTTATCGGGGTTTCCGAGGTTTCCGGTCGTTGTAGGACCTCATGATAGCCTCCACGTTTCGCGCGCTCTCTAAACTGTCTCTGAGCCCGACAACACCGACAACATCGACAACACCGACAACCTATGGCCGTTCCCATAGCTTGCGCACCGTGCTAAGCCCCTTGAGGTGCGGACACGTAACTACGGAGAACAGAATACTCGGTTGACATCGATCGTAATTTCCAGGCTTATCTCCTTCCTTTCCTCATTTGGCAGGTTCCGGCGAGTTCATACAGGACCGGAGGGTACCGACGCGGTCTAAAGCCTACTTAGAGGCAGCGTACACTCAAAATTTCGCCTTCGATGTCTTTTTTCATTCTAAGGCCTTTCCGTGCCTCTGATTACAGGCATGACACCAGAATCCTCCCAAAAACCCCGATTTCCGGGAACCCTTTCTTCAGATGGCGGACGAGCTTCGACTGCTCGTCCCCGTCGACATGCCAGCGAGGAGCAGCTGCAACTGCATGACAGCCTGTAGTTACTGCAACTGCAGCGTATGCTGTCATGAATTCGTCGTCCGAAGGAGGTGGACTGCAGAAAGCAACTACACTGCAACAGCGGTGTTGTAACTGCAACTGCAACTGCAGCTTAAGTTGACGTGGATTTCGTCCGAGGGAGTCGGAGTGAAAGGAAGGGGGCGGAACGAAGTAAAAATCAGGCGGGTTTCCTCCGCTCAGAAGCAACGTTGGGAGACCGGACTAACGCAGTTCTGGGCTCTATATATACACGGTATAGAGAGCTGGGTAACTTAACTTTTAGGTGTACGCTGCCTTTAAAGAGTTCGTACGCCCGTGCATATTTCGGTACATAGGCGCCGCCTTCATCTTGGAGTAGCATTGAGTAAGTTGGGGAACAGATGACACCTAATGCACTATGACCATCATTTACAATCATCCAAAATGTGGGCGTGCTTGTATAGGTAATCTCTCTTATTACAGTATGAACAAAGAAGATGCAACAATTGGGGGTTTCTTTGTATTCAGAACATTTTTATGATATTTACTTCGAGTATTTGCGGAAAGACGTCAAAAAACTAGTTGAGATACGTCTTGCATTTTATGAGATTAGTCGAACACGATGAATAAAAGTGAATAATGGATAACGCATAAAAGAACGTGAATTTACAAAGCATGCTGGCGTGATGGAAGTCCAGAACAACTGTACAAGTGATCTCGATGTACTCAAACAACTCAATATTGCAGAGATACATAAAGATAGGCGGAAAGTAAAACAAACACAGAATAAAAATTTAGAAGTACAACACAGAAATGAACATTAGATACAAAAAAATCCTTCAAGTGATTATCTCATAGTTATATGCTCGCCTCGCAGTCTTCGGACAAGCTGAATATCTCTAGGCATGATAGTGACTCTTCGAGCATGAATGGCCGCCAGATTCGTGTCTTCAAACATGCATGTGAGATAGACCTCCGCAGCTTCCTAAATTTGCAGTATTGTGCGTAGATTCCTACAGAGTCGGAAAAGCATAAGACGTCTTTTCACACGACGAGGGGAAGAGATAGAAAAAAGGAAGAGATATATAGATTGCGGATCAGGTCAGTAGCAGTGCAAAAGGGTGCGGTCAGGCATACATTCTTCAAAACTATGCCACCCTATGCCACCCATTTCAACTACCATCCTTCCTGCACTCCCAGGGCCCGGCACCGATGGTTTGAGGTCAAACTGGACTTCGTTTTTGGAGTTAGAAGCAACGGGGACATCGTTTTTATAAGGTACTGGAGGAAGCGCCAAAAAAACACGACGAACATGTCAGGTTTCACGAGTGAATGTGTTCTTTCGCAAGCGCGCGAATTTCAAATGCAAGAGTCAAACAAACAAATGGCTTGTTTACAGCTCACAAACAATCACATGGCTCCGAATTTGGGCTATGAGTATACAATATTACTCCAAACTATGTTATGTAAAAAGTTCCTAAAACTTATGTGTCCTAATATCCGTTCTCGAATTTGTTGGTTTTTAGACCAACTACCAAACCAACTGGGTTGGTTCGGAGCATAAATATCGGAGAGTTCACATAAGTTTTGGACCTTTTTGATTTGGACGATTAGAACGGTCAAAAATCTATCATATAGTGAAGAGAGCGGATCAAATCGTTGCCTCTCCCCTTTTTTTGAGTCAAAAGTAGTATAATTCTACACGTTGATAGATATCGCGCTCCAATCATTTGCGGTGTCCTTTGAAATATGTGGCGAAAAATGCATCGCAGGATTGTTGAGGCTACAGATTCGGTTGGCCTAGGAGATTCTCGACATTCCCAGCATCAGAATGGTACTATACCCAATGGCAGAGCCCTTAAAGGCAGTGTCCGGGCAAAAACTCGATTTTGAGATTCTGTGCTTACCCGGGCCTTTTCGCTATGCTGAATCCGAAAATCCACTTTGGAGAGCGCGAAAACGACGAAAAAGGGCCCTAACACAGGAGGGAAATCAGCAGGTGGGCGGGGCTTTCCCCAGTGCGATTTCACGCTCCTGGCTCCCGGAGCGATTTTCTCGATTCCGCTAGCCGTCCTAACATCGCTACCGGTCAAGTGCGAATGATTGACTTGAAACCGGAAGCGAGAAGGTCGCTCCGGAAGCCGGGAACGTGAATTCGCAGTGGGGAAGGCCCCGCCCACCTGCTAATTTCCCTCCCGTGTTAGAGCCGTTTTTCGCCATTTTCGCGCTCTACAATGTGCATTTTCGGATTCAGCGTAGCGAATAGGCCCAAGTGAGCACAAAATCTCAAAATCGAGTTTTTGCCCGGACACTGCCTTTAAAGGCAGCGTCCAGGCAGATCCGAGCTCGACGACCACGCCCACTTCCCTCGGACTGCCAGCCCCTTATGAACGAAATCTCCTCAGCCTTGACGTGTTTTCACATGGCCAACACAGTCGAACTTACAGCGTTTACCTGTTAAAACTTGCTTTCGACAAGGATAACATCAGAAGCACTCGTCCGGGTTTTCCCAAAATAGCCCCAAGAGGTGGCTTTCTGAGAAATTCACGCTTTTTGAGTTCCATGTTCGGAATCAGCGCCATGGAAAGGCCTGGATAACATAAAAATATAGAAATCGAGAATCTGCCTGGACGCTGCCTTTAAGCGACTCGAAATGTCTTCTTTTTGCTTTTTTGTTATATTACATACCTCAAAATGCGCTTTTTTCGCTTTTTTGTTGCTATTTTGATTGAATAAGGGTTTCTCTACTAATTTTCACGTCGAGAGGGACTTCGTTAATTTTCGCGAAGTCATGGGGGACTTCGTTTCCTAAAAACCTCCAAACCAACGCGTGCCGGGCCCTGTGCACTCTATCTCTAGACACTCATAATTTTAAAGGTCAGCCCCTGTTGCAGAACTGCGAGATCTTGAAGCACATGGACCAATGATCCGCCACTGCATATTTAACAGACAGATTTGGAGACAATTTCAAATCTGCATAAGGTTTTCCGAAAGCTATAGTTACCCAGAAAAGGGTTAAAAATCAACTTCCCACTGTACCAGAAACAGGGGTGGGCTTACGAACTATATAAACTAATTTGTGCCTAATCTAAATAGCTCTGATTCGAAAAAAAGCCTGAAAAAAGCGCTTGAGGCTATCCGGGCCCCACATTTTTTTGCCGTGGACCTCGCTCAAACTTCGTCTATAAGGGTTATCTGACACGCTGATTAGATATCACACTTTCACCGCACGAAAACGTCTTCCTTAAGGTTACGGGAGTCAAAATCATAGATTTGGCTGGAATTCGGGAGAAGTTATTCGTCATGTTGATTACGATTATCATAATTTCTCTGCCTCTTGAGGCCATTTCATATAGTTATGACAGGTATACGGTATGGGGTCGAAACCACGGATTTGCTCTAAACTCCGTCTAGAGGGGTCATTCAACGCGCTGAATATGAATATCATACTGATTTTGCAAGACAGCGCCATTTTCTTGGGTTACGTGGGCATACGGTAGATGGGTCGAAGTTTTAGATTTGCTCAAAATTTACCTAAAAGGTTTACAGGCATGTTGATTATGTAAATAATGTTTGCTCGCTGCCATGAGACATTATTGTGAAGTTATGGTGAGTTGCAGCGCTTGGATGGACATTTTTTCGCTCTTCGGACTAATTGATCTCAAATTATTGCGGTCTCCAGCGAAACTTTGATAGCCTGTCCCGGAGCGAGGCGCCAAAATGCAGAACGAGTATGATATTCGTAATCAGCACGTCGAATAGACCCTCTGAGCCAAGCTTCGGCGAAATCCTTGAGACCCCCTACTGCATACATGTACACCCATCGTAACCCCAAAAGGTGGCGCTATCGCTCAGAATAAGTATGATATCGGCGTCAGCGACTCGAATAACTCCCATGCACCGAGTTTGAGCAAATTTCACGACGGAAAAATTTTGGGGCCCGGATAGTCGAATAGCGCCCTCCAAAGAAAGCTGACAGATATGCTTCGCGTTATTTACTGTCATAACAATAGCAGATTCCACTACAGTGATTTGAGCCTATCACGATTTCAAGTCAGCTTTGTAATCAATAGAATGGAGGCTGAACTCGAAGTAATGTCGATTAGAACTGACCTGTAGCGCTAGCAATGCATTCGACTGCCATCTGCACTCGTCTATTTGACGTTTCTTACATATCTGAAACAAAAAAAAAAGACATACGGATCGACTCATGTAGTACAGCGAAGTTATGTGCAGTTACCTTGTCGGCAATTTCGCGAACCACTCTTTGGAAGGAAATTCTGGGAATGAGAAGCTCTGTCGTACGCTGCAGATGTCTGATGTCACGGAGTGCTTTCACGCCCGGTTCTAGAACGAATCCGAAAAATACCTGATGATTAGTGATTTGCAACAAAATATCCTTATTTTACCGGCTTTAGCGTAAGAGCCTTTCCTAAATGCAGTAAGAGACTCTTCAAGTTTTACAAAGATTCAAGCATGCAAACTCTCCGCCAAAAAATACCGAGAAAACAGTTGAAACAGCATGAAAACTCACTTGACCTTTTCTTGACAACAGCAACAATTTTCCCCTTTGTTGGCGAGTTGAGAAGCTTTCTCTTTGTTTCGAGTCTTCTACTCAGGGGTATAATTTGCCTTTTTACAGCCGTAGGTGGCCTCGAAGATGACGATGGTGCTTGTTTGGTACGAACCATTTTCCAACACTGCAAAGTAAGAATGAGACTGAAGAAAAAGCAATACGTAGACGAAAATCTACGCGAATATCCGCACATACGCAAGGAAAAAGTACACTATACGGTATCATCCTTCCGGGCAGGAAGATTATATCTCGCGGTGGGAGGCCCCGCCGGACATGTGCAACAAACGTCGCCGCCGGATAGGGTTCACCCGGGTAGGGGAACGAACCCCTCCAATTTGAACCGCCTTTGCGGACTATTGGTCCTGCAACGACATGCAACAACATTGCAATAGGACCGGCTGCCAGTGGAGGCGGCTCAAAGCTGACGGGGTTCGTTGGGTGGAGGACATTAGGTCGCCGAAAAAGGGCGGTCCCCGCGGGCATTTGCGACAGATACGCACCCTTGTACATGCGCGGACATGCGTTCCTGCAGGGAATCCGCGCGGGAAGTCTTCCAAATTCGGCGACCTAATGTCCTCCACCCGGGTTCGTTCCCCTACCCGGGTGTATGAGTACTATCTGCTGCATTGTCCGCCCGTGACCTCCCACTTGCGACATAGTTCTCTACCCCACCCTCTCAAACTACGAAAACAGAGATCGCTTTACGCACATGTGATCGATAATGAGAGTTGAGAACGCTTTAACACATAGAAACAAGCAGGGAAAGTTACTCTTTCCTGGTCCCAAGCAATAAGTAATCCCAGGTGAGGTGGATCACAAGTCTGCCTTGCTAACGACAGGTTCAACCTTGTTTTGCAAGACTGTGACAAGATTGTTTTGAGAGCGCGTACTGGGCCTACTCCGGAGACGGTCAAGAGTAGTGATTTTGGTTGAGATCACCAGTTTAACAGCCCAGTTTAGAGCTGAAAAGGTCTTTCAAAGGTACCAGTCGAGTGCTGTAGCCTACTTAGTAACTTAAGCTACTACTTGCTAAGTTTGACGGCATTTGGTGAAAACTTGATTGAAATATTCACAGAAAAACCACTAGTTGCATTTTCACGGGTTTTTGTTCCCCAACACTTATGATTTAAATATAATTTAGGATAATAAGATTGAGCGACCCATGGGACGATCATACATATCTTGTAAGAAATCTGAATTGCTCCTAGAACATGAATAAATACTGCGCTAATTAGTGTCCATCTAGCAATAAAAATCGCGCCTCTTGACACCCTTCCTACTCCCAATAAATGGTATCGTCATAACACGCAAGGACTTGGCGTTGCGTCCGATCAAGATAGCTCGCGCTTGGGAGAGACAGATGGCAAGAGGAATGAAAGAGTGCTCAATCAGGGAGACGCCAGTGCGTCCGCATCTCTGCGTGCGCATCGCTGATAGTTAATTCGTTGACCGCACGGACTGGACATTACTGCGGAGCACGAGTACAAATTCGCCATTGTACAAGTTGTACTTTTGCAAGATTCAGCCGCGCCGCGCAGGGTCCGCAGCGTTTGCGTTGTCCGTGCGGTCAACGAATCGCCGATACAAATTTGCGCCTTTTTTCTCGACGTTCTGATGAAAATGATCAACGGAGAGCAAACCCAGGCTTATCAAACAACGTGCATAGCGTTCTTCCGCAGCTCAGCCTCAGAGAAGAGACATAGACTGTGACGATGCAGGTCGACCAAAGCAATAGTTATTCAAAATGCGACCGAGCGAATATAGAAGAAGCATCGATAGCTGGTACATTTCTAGTGGATGCGCTTGGGGAATCGATCGGTGAGACATACCATACAAATAGCTTGTTGACTAAGTTAGTTGCACAGAATGCAGTGAGTACTTTCCCACTGCCTTGTTGATCAACTGACCAAGCTGTCGCTGCCAAGATAGGCGTCAGGAGAAGTCAACTGCCCGAAATTGTCCGTGTCACAGGAGGCTGAACGAGAGCGATCGGCACTTAAGTATCCTCGATATCAATCGAGATATGCCTTTCCTCAACATGGCGTGGGGTGGATTACGTGGACTGATGGGGCGCCGTCTCGCTGTAAGCTGCGCCACTTGCGGGCGCATCTTTGGCGTGGTGTTGGCAACAAGAACAACATGGGAAAGCCTGCACCACTTCCTTTTAAGCGCCACGTCACACCAAACGATGCGCCCGCAACGTGGCGCAAACTCGAAGCGAGGGCCGCCTCACCAATCCACGTAGTGCACGTCATGTTGAAGGAAGACATATGGGTTGATACCGAGGGTATCATCCATTTTCTAGAACAAAAGCACGCTTTGCGACATCTCTCAACAAGTTCACGGGTGCGTTCTGGTTACTATCAGGAATTCGTGAAAGAACAAGTTCGAACTAGCATTGTTTAACATGCTCGAACATGTTATTTCACGAAAGAACGAATGATTGAGTGGCTAGAGGCTCAAGAAGTGTTCTAACACTTCTCAACCACTCAGTGATACAAAAGATGGCTGAAACTGCAGTAAATGCTAGGACGGGGTATCTTGCGTGCGCCAATTCATCCTTGTTGAGTTACAAAACTGCTTACGGCAGAATAAAATGTCACATCTATGAAATGAAAAGCAGCCATGGGGACGTCTACATGCATGTCAACCACAAATTTGCCGGTAAGTGACCACGGTAAGACGCGCAAGAGAGACACGTTTCAAAAATAGAATCGCAGCCCTGGAGGAAATCCTTGGAGGTCACGCAGGTTCAGGGTAAGGGACTATATGTCGAATCGGGATCGGCCATACTATTCCTGCTATTCCTACGACTCCTGCGATTCCTGTGAGTCCCGCACAGTTTAGACGCCGCTTAAAGGCAGTGTCGGGCAAAAACTCGATTTTGAGATTTTGTGCTTATAAGGGCCTATTCGCCATGCTGAATTCGAAAATCCACATTGGAAAGCGCGAAAACGGCGAAAAAGGGCTCTAACACAGGAGGGAAATCAGCAGGTGGGCGGGGCTTTCCCCAGTGCGGTTTCACGCTCCCAGCTCCCGGAGCGATTTTCTCGATTCCGCTAGCCGTCCTAACATCGCTACTGGTCAAGTGCGAACGAATGACTTGAAACCGGAAGCGAGAGGGTCGCTCCGGAAGCCGGTAACGTGAACTCGCAGTGGGGAGGACTCCGCCCACTTGCTGATTTCCCTCCAGTATTAGACCCCTTTTCGTCGTTTTCGCGCTCTCCAATGTGGATTTTCGGATTCAGCTCTGCGAATAGGCCCGGGTAAGCATAAAATCTCAAAATCGAGTTTTTGCCCGGACACTGCCTTTAAATGAGCGCGTGTTGCGTAAAACAACACGTAACACGCAACACGCGCTCATTTAAGCGGTGTATAAACTGTGCGGGACTCACATGAATCGCAGGAGTCGTAGGAATAGCAGGAATAGTATGGCCGATCCCGAAGATAGGCTCCATTCCGCTCGGACAGCAGATACAAACCGAAATGTGTGAAGTGAAGTCTTGCCAGCTCACAGCGTAGCGGTTCTAGCTAGCGAGAGAGTACGGAAAACAATGCCATAACGTGGAGGTTCAATAAGTTTATCCTTGTTATCAGGCAAAGTCTGCAATACACCTCTACACAAATCCGGGAGCTGATCATATGTATCGTCGATTTGTTGGCCGCACGGACTGCTCAAACGATGCGGACCACGCGCGGCGCGGCTGAGTTGTCGCGAGAGCACGACTTGCACAATGGCGAACTTGCATTGGGGCAAGCGACTTACCTCGCGACGCGTGCTCTGCAGTGATGTCCAGTCCATGCGGTCAACGAATCAGCTATACAATATCAGTACTGTTCCACATTAGCTGACCCAAAAAACGAAAGCTGCGGATTTTGCCAAAACTTCATCTAGAGGAGTTACTTTGCAAGCTGATTACGAATATCACACTTATTTCGCACCGTAGTGCTATCAGGTGGAGATACGGTAGGATTACGGCAGGGGGTCAAAATCACGGATCTGCGCCAAACTTCGTCTAGGGTGGTTATTTAGCACGCTAAATACAGAAATCATATTTATTTCGTACGGTAGCGCCATTTTCTCGGGCTAAGGTGGACATACGGTGATGGCTAAAAATCTAGAATCTGCTCAAATTCTGCCCAGAGGAATTCCTATGCACGCTGATTACGAATAACGTTCCCTTTCTGCCGTGCTGATCACGTATATCCCACTCGTCTCGCAGGATGAAGCCTTTTCGTGGATTTTTGGGATCTAAATCTGGCTGCAAAACGAAAAAGTTGCTCTTCCACGCACTATAGGTCTACGATAGCGTTCGTTATTCCAGCGAACGCGCTTGATATTTGCAATCAGTGCTTATGAACCTCTTCGCGCAAAGTTTTGAGTGAATTCGAGATTGTTAGCCATTTACCGTAAACCCCCGTAACCCGAAAAAATGGCGCTACCGTACGAAATAAATATGATATTCATGTTCAGCTTACCAAATAACCCCCTTAGATGAAGTTTGGAGCATATCCGTGATTTTGACCCCCTACCGTAATCCTAACGTAACTCCATCAGATTTCACTCCGTACGAAATAAGTGTGATGTTCGTAATCAGCATGCAAAATAACCCCTCTAGACGAAGTTCCAGCAAAACGCGTCACTTTCATTTTCTGGGTCAACTAATATGGATTAGCGCCTATAGTAAGTTTCAACTCAGTTCAGGCGGAAATTGGGCCGGCGGGAGTCCGCTTCGCAACGATTCGCGCCGCTTTGCAGCCTGCGTCTCTTCGTTCTAATCTACCTGGCTGAACCACTGGCAGTAAGGGCGCGCTGCTCCACTTGAAATGTCTCGCCTACTCCGGATTAGAAAGACTGTACATATCATTCATTCCCTGACTAAAAGACGCGAGCACGCTTTGCAAACATCTGATTAACAAGTTTAGAAGTGCGTTCTAACGCGTTTCGGTAAAGTACTATCAGAAAATCATGAAAGAACACGTTTCAACTAGCTTTGTTCAACAAAATCAAACACGTTCTTCCAAAACTTAAAATACAGTAAGTTTCAGCCCAGTTTAGGCGGAAACTGGATTGGCGGGAGTCCGCTTCGCAGCAGTTCGCGCCGTTTCGCATACAGTTCACATCGTCCTAGAAACCCATGTCTGCGTCTCTTCATTCTTCTCACTCTTTACTTGGCAAAATGCCAGCGCTGTGCGCTCACAAAGTCTCCAGAGAAGCGGACGCGCTGCTCTACGTTAAAAGTTTCGCCTATTACGGGTTGAAACGAACTGTAGCTCCTGCAAGACGAAGGCGGTCGGTTCGATATGCAACGCGGCGGTGACACGGCTGCGTCATAGCCAATTCGCACATCGAACCGATCGCCTTCGTCTTGCAGGAGCTTATAGAAATTAATCAAAACGCATTATAACTCACTCGTGGGTAAACTTGTGAATCACATAATGTCGACTCCCCAACTTTGGCGAGGCGGGACCGTGATCTTCACCAAAGATCGATGGATCAGGTATGCCTCAGCACAGGGCAACCGCAACGCAAGGCACGCTAGCGCAGCTCCGCCTCGCCAAAGTTGTGAAGCCGCTCATACGCAAAGCGTGCTCGCGTCTCTTAGTCAGAAAATGAATGATAAGTTGTTGCAAGAAAATGCAGACGATGCGAGAGAATACAAGCGTGTTCGATTGAAACAAGGACCAGAGCTGTTTATGACGCGCTTTCATGGAAAAGATGAATCAGATGGAACCAGCATTCTGTATATCTTTGCATTCTGCTTTCCTTCGCTCTTCATGAGAAGAATAAGTACTTTACAAAACATGAAGAGAAGCGATTTTATCGTGCACTGCCTTAACCTTGTCTTTAGTGTGCAATGGGCAAAAAAAGGAGAGAAAAGGCTGCATTCCGCCGCTGCAAGAAGCGGAAGGCAAAAAGTTGCTGGGAACGCAACGGAGGAATGAAGAAGGTGCATGTTCCGAGGGTAGGGACGCAGGGGCGCTGCTGCCTGTGCGGCTGCGTCCGCCAAGCCTGCTTCAGCCGCGGTAGGCCATCAGAAAACACCGGCCACAGTGTAAGCGCACCCCACGCGTTCCTCTCACGCCTCGTGTGGCTACTTTCTGCTAAATTCTTTGAGACTTGAACTTTGTGGCCCCTTTTTTAAAAATTGTGTGGTTTTTTTTGAACACAAAGCTATATTTATGTCTCGTCTCTTTAGTCATGTATGTCACAACGAATTTAGGGTTCCAGACGGCGTCTACTCTGTTCTTTGCATGAGATATTAGTCATTAGAAATGGCGCATCTGGTCGTTGATGGCCTTGCTGCCAGCGATGGCTCTTGGAGCCTTCCAATTCTTATTACGGACATGAATATACAGAGGTAGGAACTGTACATATATGCACGAGTCCAGTATCATCATATTCAATCGATTCAGGAATCTTTATGTTCGGGGGGATCTACACATCGGTGGCTTGATGATGCGTCTAGTCGATGAAGTTGGTACGTCTGCTTATGCATTTCCATATGCTCTTGCACTTTCCTGTTTACTACTTTGCAAACGACTCTCTTCTATTACAAAACCTTTTGATCGATGCTAGTTTTCTAGCAGTTTTGGTACATAATTGAACTTTTTGAGTAACCCGCAACCTTGTTGATGTAGTGTTTCTCGATGTATCACCTTCAGTGACAACTGTTTTGAAAAGCTCCTACAATCAATATGAAATAGCATATACATTCAAACTTATGATGGCAGTAAGGGCGGAACCTGTCTTAGCTCAAGTCATGCTTTGCCTATTAGATTGCTTTCATAGATATAAAATTTGATGCATGTCTTAGCTCAGTCGTTCGTCGTCCATTACAGTATCGTTCGTATCAGTATGCCGTTTAACCTCCACTCACTCAAACGTCCTGTTCTAAGATTTCTTTTTGCTGCCATAATCGTTCTTCTATTTAGTATCTGCACCTTTGTTTCTGCATTTGATGTCTTCGTGAGCGCGCCTGGAACTTTGTTTGCTTTTGATCGGGTCACTGCTAGCCGTCCGCGCATCTCCACCTTGTTTGCCAGTTTGGGGCACTCATTACATTATTTTTATAAATGCAAGCTTCCTCGGTTATGAATAATTTCTGACGCACTGCATTCGATCGATCCAATCACTTCTGGCGGTTCCGCCTACGTGCTATTACACCAGTGTCGTGGATAGAGGATCTTGCCCGCATGGACAGGTGCTTTGAAAGCAGAAAACAGGATAATGTTAGCGATTTCTTGAGAAGACTAGTCGTATTCTGTCGAAGCATAGCAAAAGATGTTTGACTCAAAGCATGCAAGACTAATGTATTGAAGGTAGCATGATCGGCGCGCTTTATTTATATTGCATTATTGTTGTAACATTCCAGGAGGAGTGACTCCTGAAATGACTGCGAAAGGTCTTTTGAGTAGCTGTAATTGTCTGGTGCACAAACTCAGTTTTTTTTGGAAGTGTGGTACATACGTCAGAGTTTAAGCACTACTGTTTTGCGGAGAGTCGAAGTCAATTGAATTTGCATTCCTTGCATGAAAAGCGCGTTCACATACTATAATTGGGATAAAAAGTCGAGTCACCCATAAGCTCATATTCGAAGAAAAGATTGAAAAGCTCAAAGATTCGCTATTTACAAAAGGTTTACTCGCGAAATCAATCAAGGTAATACGTACGTACATCTGTCGAGCTGACATAATTTTTAATTGAATTATCGTATAATGTGGTCCATATGTTCCTGCAAATCGTTCTTTTGGGACTTTGTATCGTATCGTTGGCTTTAAGATATTGTTAGCACTGAGCCCTATGCTGTAGTTGAGGAGAGGGTTTCGTTAGAAATTCATGGATCGATCTTGCCAGGCTCGTTTCGGCGCGAATCCGTTTAACGACTTTGGATGCCCACTCAATACATATAATGAGCAGGCATCGTCACCACTGTCCATTAGAGACCTTTCTTTGAGCACAAGAGCGATGTGTAAGCTTACTATGTCTAGCTTTTGATAGTTTTTTGAGCAAGCTCCTCCATCTATCTTTCCATTTCACGAGCACGCATATTTACGCTTTGAGATCTTGAGCGTTGGCCTAACGTGATGCGAGTGATAGGATTTTTGGTGTCATTGTGTACATCAAACCATCATCGTGCATATCGGCGAATTTATACAACAATGCCTGAAAGGACGTAATCGCTTTCGTGCAAGCAGCCTGTTCCAATTCGTATTATACATCATTCTATGCGTACTGCTCCTTCCACTTTGTTACTCTTTGTTATTGTTCCGATTTGGAGCTTACAAAGCAACTGTACTGGTGTAAGTGCAAACCTAAAAAGTGAATGGACCGTTAGTGGCGAGCTCGGGTATGCTTTCCAGTTGCAGAATTTTTTTTGGTGAGTTCATTGAACAGAAGAAATTTGTTCTTTTCTTGCAGTTTTCTTTTGGCTTTAGTGCAGTTGTTTTTTCTAGATCATTCTTCCGTTCTCAAATTTTATTGAAGCAGTTTTTTCAGAATTTTTCAGAGTATTATGATAATCTCGCATCCCGCCTTTGCTTGTTGGTTAGATTATTTAGACCAAAGCCAAATAATCTCTTACTCCACTGTTTCTCTTAGTTTTCTACACTTGACAGTTTTGGCTGGAAATGTCTATCTGATATGCGCTAACGTAATAAGCGGAACTTTGAGAACCGCCTTATCCACAAGCACATCTCATCTGAAATTGTCGGACAATCTTCATGTTAGGGCTGTGAAACTAGTCAAGTTTACTTCTTGTGTACTTCATAAAAAATTTTCCCCTTTTTACGCGACGCTCGTGTTGTTCTGATATGTACGCTGCTGAAGTACTCGGTGATTTAAAAATGATGTCAACATCTTTGAAAAAGAGAGGATGAATACGCAGCCGATGATACACATGCCTATCTTTGCATCAGATAGTAAACCTTGCAGATGTGACTCGAGACTGGTCCGACCATGCATTGTGGTGGCCAGAGAAGCGCCGGTGGCTCCAGCACACACGCTCAACGTTAGATCAGTGCGGTGTCACAGCTGATTCGAAGCTTGAATTTACCCCGATGCATAAAGATGCGAGGTGAGCCTTTTACTTTTTTTCCAGCTTTTCGTCATTTCTTCTACATTCTTCACATCTTCAGTATTCTTTTATATTCAGAATGATTTTCACACTTCATTTCTGTGTAGATCGAACTGTTTAATACATTTCATTATTGGTTTGGATTCGATCTATCCTCTGCAGCTTCTTCCGAGTTCTTCTTCCGAACTTTCTCGCCGCTTGTATTGAATACAATCATCGTGCATTTTAGAGTGCAGTTACCAGATAATCAGATCATTGAAGCTCGTCTGGATTTTTCGGTGAATGCATTCAAAGCAACGCAGAAGCTCTGTCGCGATTTGGGTATCCGACATTCTGAGGAGCTAGGCTTGAAAAGGTATTACTGCTTCGTTATTTTGCGTTTTCTCTAAAAGTGTCATTAACAGGCTTATTCCACCGGAAATCCTTCGCAAGGGTACCTATGAAGCTGAAAACTCGTCTGGGCCGCAGCCTATACGGCCGGGAGAGGTATGTGCTTGTAGCTCTGTAGTTTTTCATCAATTATCAGCTTCAGGAGTCTGTGGGTCCGATGACATTGCGGAAGGCAACTCCAATTTTTGCTTCGCAAACCCAAATTGATGGACGAATGCGGCGTGGACAGTCACCAGCGCTTTCAACAAGCGGGCACATCTTCAACGCACATGAGCTAGGTACTTTGCCAAGACATGGCGGCGGCACTTTACCTAGAGGTGCAAGTCCCAGTCCAGGAGCTGTGAGTTACTGCCACGCTTCATACAATATGTCTGATGTAGAGTAAAAATTCCTGGCATAATTGTAAACCAACTTTGAAATTTAGTACAATGGGACCATGGGTCGCGTTCCTATAATGCCAAGCATAAGCTTTTGCGAAGGTTGGACATTTAAATGCTTTAGCTTATTATTACTCATTTTTGGACTTCTTTCAGGCCTTGAAAATGAACAGTTCGACATGGCGCTTGTTCACACCCCTCGCCAGGCGGTCAACAGAGATACTGTGGTGTTTAGACCTCAGAACTATGTAGAAAAAGCGGCCCTTAACCGTGGTTGGCTGGACTCAAGTAGGTCAGTGGCTTTATTATTTGATCAGTGGAGGCAGCGTGTAATAGGAGTCTTTAGGTCGTTGATGGAACAAGGTGTGTTTGAAGGAGATGTTGTTCTGCTCCGTTTCAAGTACATGACTTTCTTTGACCTAAATCCAAAGGTTAGTAAACATACAAATGTTCGTCTTTGCTCAACGCGTTTTTTTTTAGTATGATCCCGTTCGTATCAACCAGTTGTATGAGCAAGCAAAATGGTCGATATTGTTGGATGAGTTCGATCACACTGAGGAAGAAGCATCCCTTTTTGCTGCTTTGCAGGTGATATCTTAAGAAACTTAACCATCGGACCTGTTCTTGATCTTATCTCTGTAAATGAGTTATATCTTCATTACTTACATCGTAGTGAGAGTATTGAGAGAAACTTACTGTCAGTTTGTGCATCACTTTCTCATTGCAGTTGCAAGCGACTTTGCAGCGTGATTCGCCTGAACCGGAAGGTCCAACGAAAGATGATGTGGATATGATGCTAGATGAATTGGTAAGTCTACATTTCGCTTTTCGTGTTGGTAATAACTACGGCTATCCACGTTCTTGACTTCGCCCATACAGGAGCAAAATTTGGACGCCGCCGCTCTTGGACGTCGTTCTGACCTGATGCAAGTGCCAGAACTTTCTGAATACCTCAGATACATGAAGTAAATAATCTCTTTTGATTATAAGTTATTTCATACTGCATGTTTGAGGCCGAAGAAGTTAGCCGCTTTCAAAGGTTTCAAGCGCGCCTTTTTCTCATTCCGTGATCTGTATCTCAGCTACTACCAGAATTCATCGGATATTCATCAGCCACCCCTGGGGCATTTTTCACTCAAAGGCATGTTGTCTACGCTTGATCTGCTAGTCTACCAGATTAATCATCTTTTCAGGGTGCGAAGTCAGCCCCGACGTGTCGGTTTCTCAAGGTAAATATCAGATCAAACTATTGGTGCCTACTGCCGAGGGAATGACGGAATTTGTGCTCAAATGTGAATCGGTAAGGAAGGCTGTCTTTTCACCTGCGAACACCATTTGTTAATTTGTTTTTTCAAGTTCTGAATAATGATTGGCCCTATCTTTAAATTGGGCGCATCCAGGAGCACCACTAAGTCAGAAAATTATTCTTCTTTCATTGCAGTTGTATTTTTAGGAGCATCAGTATGCTAAGTGGATGGCCGCTTGTCGTTTAGCATCTCGTGGAAAGTCAATGGCTGATTCATCTTATCCTCAGGAGGTTGAGAGCATCAAAAATCTCATACATATGCAGAGTACCAGTAAGTTTGCTATAGGCTCTACCAATCACGCGCATAATCTTGTTGTTGTTCTATTTACCACTCTTTTGACATTCAATTCAATTCCTGTATATATAATTTCTTGCTCTCCCATTAAGCTAATGGCCGCAATGAAAACAGCACGGCGCGCCGAGCTGCACCAGTCAAACTTCCCAACGATTTTAATGTAGACGAATACGTTTCCCAACGATATGTGCGAAAGGCCAGAAGTAAACAAGCGGTTAGTGATTTCTTCTTTGCTCCGTTATCTTCGCAGTCATGGATAGAGAGGTAATACAGCTTCAACAACGTGTTGCGGATGCACATGCGAATGTTCGACAGCTAACATCTACGGAAGCGAAGCTGCAGTATATAAGGGCATGGCAGGCTCTTCCTGAACATGGAATGCACTACTTCATAGTACGCTTCAGAAACGGCCGAAAAGCAGATTTGATTGGTAAGTTGTCGTAGGTGATATGGGAGACCCTCATACAAAGCGTTTTAGGAGTTGCGGTCAATCGATTGGTGAAGATGAATATGGAGAATGGGGAAAGTATAAAAACTTGGCGTTTTTCAAATATGAAAAAGTGGCATGTAAATTGGGAAATCCGGCACTTGAAGGTGCGCGTAATTTACTCATTGATAATTTCATAGTCATATCGGCAAAAAAAACCGCTTTTAGATACAATTCGAAGATGAAGACATAGAGTTCAAGCCACTATCAGCTGATTGCAAGGTATGTCCATCGGCTTGGTTATTACAAGCAAAAACCTTTCATTTAGATCGTTCACGAATTTATTGGTGGTTACATCTTCTTGACAATGCGGAGCAAGGAACAGAATCAAACGCTGAATGAGGAATTATTCCACAAATTAACTGGTGGATGGGGTTAATAGGAGCCTATTGTTATGGAAAAGTTGAGCAAGATCCGCTCTATTCCAATTTATTTAGATTTGTTGCTCAGCAATCTTGTCACTAATATAAACTGCCAAAAGCATCCATAGCGTATGTTGAATTTCAGCATATCCTTTTATCGTGTTTTTTGTAACTGAAAGAAAAGCAGCAAAGTGATGCTGTTTTACGAGGCCTTAACAAGTTCATGCAATACTTACGCTTAATATGCACAATTCGCCAAAATAGACACATAGTGCATTTTGTAATATATCGCATTGCTATACGATTTTGTACCTTGTATAGATTTACATTTGAAAAGATATACTTGTTAGCGACGCGTGCCTTGTCTAATTTAATTGCACGTGGGCCTGTTTTATATTTTTTCCGATTGTAATAAATGTATTTCCGAGAAAGAGTTGCATTGTGTATGAGAGGACGTGATACAAATAATCTTTTCTTCTTTGTACGCTTTTGGAAGCCCCAGAAAAATAACTGCAATCTCTGTCGACTAGAATAAGTTACGCAAGTTAGTTTAGAAGACCTCTACTGCAAGGGTGAGGATTGGTTAGTGCTTTCCGTTTCGTTATCGAGGAACTTGTCCAGGCAATTCCGGACCACTTTTCCTTTCGTGCTTCCCACACCTTTCCTAAATTTATGGAAACGTTATTATTCCTTACTCATTGTCAGTATATTTACGACGGAAGCACTTTATATGGGCGTATTGCAGTCTGTGGAGTTAACGGAAGTCTTTCCGAGGGAACGGGAAGGAGGGAAGGAGTTTCCATCAGATGGAGGACTTAGGCACGCTAGTGGTTCAAAATCAACATTTTCAAAGAATACACACTTTTCTTTACCAAAACGCTTGTACTTGTGTTGCGATTGTTCTTCGAGAACTATCTCATATACATTTTAGACAAAAAGCAGCGAAGTGATTTAGCTCTCTGCTTACCTCTAAATGCATAAAGGCTAAGAAAAAAAAACAAGTAATGTTGTAGATTCTATTTTTAGCACTCACTTGTCCAACATTATGTGAGTGTGTGAGATGTATGCACAGTCGCAAAAACATGCGTGTTTGCACTATACGATTGCTCTGCACTTTAAGATTGTATATAGGAAGAGATTTTATTCTGCATAACGTACAGAGTTTGCACTTTCAAATCGTGTGCAGTGTTGACGCTTTGTATGTTTGAATTTAATTTGCTTGGAAGGTTCGGAAGCGTTTGCGAAAGCTATTGGCGCAAGTTAATTTTGTGTATAGAGCTATCTTGTAGTTGGAGAAGGCGGAGAAACTATTGCCAACAAGGATCCATACTCAGGCCTAGCGTTAGCTTTCTCGAACACTTTATTTATGATTTGTAGACCGTAAAATGCGCTGAAAAAAGTTTCTTTGTCGCGATACACGACCACCAGTGCGTCATCTCTGCTTGGCTTGCACTGGTTTTACAGTCGAGTAGATTAAGCGGTAAATATAGTGTGCTTGCACAGAAGGTGAAATGCGGTAAAATTGGCGCGTGAAGAAATAGTTTCGACTGTGACGCCGGCCAATTGCGCGCGCAAGATACCCGCGCTGCTGACGTGGCTACTTGTTCACGCGCAAATTTCACCGCATTTCACCTTCTGTGCAAGCACACTATATTTACCGCTAAATCTACTTGACTGTACTTACTACAGTCGAGTAGAATCTCCGCTTAATATAGTGCTTGCGGTGCTGAGAAAATGCGGCAAAATCTACGCGTAAACAAATAGATGCTTCGCTACGCCAGCCAATCGCGCGCGCAGAATGCCGGAATTACAGGCGTGCCTATTTGCTCGCGCGCAAATTATACGGCATTTTCTTTGCACCGCGTCACAAATTCTATGAGCTTGAGGACGCCATCCACAAAAACTCGTTCCAGAAGTTTACCGCTGGCGATTTGAACGCAAGAATTGGCCAGTCACTGCCAAAAGACGACAGAGTTGGGAACTTTGGGCTGGGAAGTCGGAAAGTGATTGGAGACAGACTCTCGGACTCATTGAAGCGGCTCTCTATCCCAAGGAAAGTCCTTTTATCAAAAAAATTACATCGACGCTGGACGCGCTGGACGTGGGAGTCACCAAATGGCACGGCATATAAGAGATGGATTGTATACTTGCTAATAATAAGAGTTGGTCGATGTCGGAGTGGTTCGTTGCACAGGTTTGGACTACCGTCCATTTCGTCCAAAGATTCGCATCACTCAGTCGAAAAAGGGAAAGAAAATCCATTGTGCGAAATTCAGAAGAGAAGCTGTATACGACGATCGCATGAAAACGCCATTCCCATATATGACTAGATACGGAAGGAATACGAAGGTTTAACAGAAAACTTAGGAAAGTTGAGTGAAGGACTACGCAGCTATAGTGTGGGCCCCGGCCAGCTTCCCATAGGTACCTGCGCGACGCACCCGCAACGCACGCCTTCAGTGCGTCTCCTGTCCTAGCTTCCAATGGAAATCCTCCTTTCTCTCTCTATTTTTTGTTTTTGGTGTACTATATTCTCTCTATTTCAGGTACAAACAATTCGCGATGACCGGTGATGAGATTCCACGTGCTCCAATAGTTAAGACCTTCAGTCTTGTTTTGTAGTCTTGTGTTTTTCCTGTTTTTTCTGAAAAATTGAGATTTGATTGGATGATTGGATATTAAGATAATATCCCTTTAAAAGCTTCTTGTATAAAATAGGAGTCCCTTTTGGTTTGATGTGTAAGGTGTAGACAGTTAAAATTGAGCCTTCCGAGAAGCCAGTAGGCATTTGTTTACTTAAATGTCCACTTTTTTTGAAATCTTTGACCACTCTAGTTTCTACGTCTACGAAGAGAAATGTTTTGAAAATGCTGTTGTTCTTTAATTTCTCTACGTTTACTTATTGCAACCTATCCATCAGTGCAAGTTCAGAATATGCATCCATTGATTGAATTTGAGGTGCTCATGGGGGTTGCCTGCGTTTCATTCTTGCATACGTCTCTTTCGAAGCGAACCTAGAGGTTTCCACTTTACATTTTTCTCCTTTGTGAGCATAAATATGTTCTGCTGCTCATGAGTGAGGCGAGAAGCATTAAAGGCAGTGTCCAGGCAAATCTGGACCCTTTAGTTTTTTGCATGGAAACTGATGGGGGACCACTGACTAAACCACTGCCCGAATTGCAGCGCACGGGACTCACTCACGGCAGAGAAATCGGCCTCCGAGCCCGTCGCCCCCGCGCCGTGACCGTACCACTTCAACAGCCTAAACGCACATCACGGTCCCGGCGCGAAACCATGAGGACAGGATGTAGCGCGCAAACTCGTTGCACAAATACTGCAAATTTCCTAATTCTTCTGCTTTTCGTGAACTGCCCTTGTTTTCCATGTTTATTGCGGCGGCTTCTCTCGGCTGCCTTTTCCGCGTTGTTCATGGTGTTTTCGTTGATTACATTTGAGATATCTTCATTTTCCGTGTTATTTCGTACCCTCCCAACGAGTTTCCGCGCTACACCCTGTCCTCATGGTTTCGCGCCGGGACCGTGATGTGCGTTTAGACTGTTGAAGTGTTACGGTCACGGCGCGGGGACGACCGATTCGGACGCCGATTTCTTTGGTATGAGTGAATCCCGTGCGCTGCAACTCGGGCAGTGGTTTAGTCAGTGGCTCCCCATTAGTTACCACGCAAAAAACCAAAGGGTCCAGATTTGCCTGGACACTGCCTTTAAGAAGGGCGCGCGCTGTGTGCGCGCCGCGGAAGTACCTATGGGAACCTGGCCGGGGCCCACACTATACTATGCTGAGCAGGCAGTTTTTACCGTGTAAAGAGGCGTGTTGTCTGACGGCCTTTGCATTTCGCATGCTTGTATCAAACTACGAACTTCTCGGAAAAAGTCGCGCGCCTTTCCAAAGACATTCTGCTTTTGCTGTTGAGAAAATTCGAAAAAGTCTTGTAGCGAGAGAAACCGCTTAGGGATTCGCGCCACGCGAGTGGTCCTCCTATAAGGGCTAGCGTACAAGCGGTCGACATAAGCCTAAAGCTTCCGTGCATGCGGCAAACAGTTGAAGCGCCGTCCTAGCGGCAGGCAACGTTACCGTGCAAACGGTCTGCAATACAAGTGCTCGAGCGAGCACTTGTATTGCAGAGCGGCCAGCAATGCCTCCGTCCTATCGGTCGGCAATACCTGTTGCCGTGCATGCGGCCAACAGTGATCTCTATATTCTGCTCACTATTTTCACATATTGTGAGCTTAAATGGTACCTGCGTGAAATACGACGCAGCGTTTAGGCTGGCTAAGCGTTGACATACAGTGCTGGCAATAGCTATAAAGCCACCCTAAAAAATCACGGTAATTTGCCCTGTGTCGAACAAAATTGTCCAACAAACCACCATCCTGTTTGTAAACCAACGTTATATCACTGTTCAGAACGGCTCCCAATTTTATTGGTTTTGGCTGGAGAAAAATTGAAAAATTTGAAAAAACGTGTTCCGAAAGCTGGCCATAGCTAAATTGCGGTTCATAATTATACGAACACCCAAAATTTTGTAAGTTTTTGGACTTTTTGGGAGAAACTCAAAAAGCCGTTGGTACCACGCGATAGAACACAGCCGAAAACGGTATACGATCCATAAGAATGAGAAATGATGTCAATCTTAGGAGTGTTTTTGCTCCTAATGAGAATTTTTAGCGGTTCATAATTATACGAACACCTCAAACAAAGGTCCATTTTTCATTCAAGATTGCAATCATTTGAGTCCAAATTTTTTGTAGAGTTACAGGAACAAAGTCTGACATATCTGCTACACACTGAACCCAGTGCAGTTTTAAAAGAGGACCGTTACTTTTTTCGGAAGGCTCTATATGCTTTTGGAGTGATTGGGCTCCAGAAACATCCGTTCATCTGTGGTTTACACGCTCTAGTTAACTTCTACCAAAGCTATGAGATAAAATAAGCTCTTTCGATAGGTATTTTGTTTGACGCTTGGAAAATCATTGCGTTTTCGTGCCGTTCTTCAACCAAGTTCCAACCTTAGCACAGAGTTAGCACGATTTCGAGCCTCAAAACTCAGCTTCTCTTTTGCGCAAACATTTGATATGAAGCAGCTGCATTGCTTGCATGATGATATTTCTGTAGCAAAGTTTTTGGATTTTTTCCAGAACTGATCTTGCGGCTGTGGAGCTACAAACCAAATAAAGGTGTGTTTGCATTAGTAAAAACAGTATTTCTGGTGAAATAACGTCTGCTGACCAAAACAAACGCTAACGCTGCTGATTTTTTCTAGCCAAATATAAAGTATTGTAAAGTTCTACATACTATATGCTTACTTCATTGTACGGCTTCAGAAGCTGTTTTGAGGCTCGAAATCGTGCTAACTCTGTGGTAAGGTTGGAAATCAGTTGAAAAAACGGCAGAAAAATGCAAAGATTTTCCA